ACCAACCATCCATACCACCGAGCAACCTGACCTCCATATTCCCATCTCCTTTCCCAACAACCATTTAAATATTTATACAATACAAATTGAGAAATCTCTCCATCTCTCAAATTGCAACTCCAACACTGTCCCTTCCATGTCCATACGCCATACTCCATCTAGCCTCCTCACCCTTCTCACTCCCACCAAATGTTCTCGCTCCATCTCTACTTGGGGGTGCTACCTGCAACCTCTTACTATCCGCACTAATTCTCACTTCATACCCCAACCCCCGTGGATATCTAGCTCCATATCCTAGACTTGGACTATCACTCCAACTCGTCGCTTCATAATCTTCATTACCATCAATTTCACTCTCGATACTACTCACACTACTAACACTGTGTGGATTATGGGTTTCTTTGACTGCGATGCATTGATAAAAGCCATCTCTAGAGGTTACGGGTCTGGGAGTGTTGGTAACGGAATCGAGGGACATGTGACGAGAGTGTTGTTGTTCGGAACCGGATGGAAATAACCAGGAGGAGACCCGCGATAGAGATTTTCTTCGATTTGTAATTTGAGGTGTTTGGAGGACTAATGGAAGAGGGGGAGGTAATGGACGTTCTTTAAGGAGCTTGGGTGCGTGAAGAGAAGAGTCTAATGATTTCATGCGGCGAGGACGAGAGGGGGCAGTTTGAGGGCGATGATCAACATGGTGGAGTGGAAGCTCGGTGACGGGTGGCATGGGTTCTTTGAGTTTGTTAGAATTGTCGGGTTAGAATATAATGATGCAATCAGAGACCTACCTGTGAACTCCGAGTATATACTCTCACGTCTTTCTTGTCGGCTCTCCGCTCGGCTGGCACGACTTACTGGTCGACTGGCTAGATAAATACTTCGTCTCTCGATAGCGTCATCAAGCTCCTTTAACTTTTTGTCCAATTCCATATTCTCTAGTAGTGCAGACTTGACTCTCTCGTATGCAAGTGGTTCCGTATTTGCTCTCAATCGCATAGGACGTTCGTGAGGTAAATCATTTGCCAAAGCATTCAGCAACTCCTCAGTGTTCATTGATCTCCTCTCCATAACTGTCGATAGAACTGGCTTTCTAGGTACCCTAAATTCCAACGCCGACTCGCTTCTCATATGAACCAAGGGACGATTCTTCGTGTCTTCATTGAAGTGAGGTCCAAATTCAGGCAAGGGTGATAATCGATTTCCTGGTAAGTATATACTCAATTCCAACGGTCGCAATTTTGGTTCTTTTCGAAGCACGACTCGTTCGGGCTCTCTCACATAACTCGTTTCCGTATGATGTTGGAAGTTATATGGCGCACTAATCACCATTCGATTTGAAGCACGAGATGATAAATTTCTTTTCAAAGTGAAGCTGCTTCCACGACTTGACGTCCTCGATCGAGTTCTCGCCCATTCCTTTCCTCTAGTTTCTGGTCTTTCAAAAGCCGGTGCTGTTGGTGGCCTTTCTGGAGGTTGTGATAATGGGGGAGATATTAATTGAGGTTGTCCATTTATTATTCGCATTGATTTCTCTGGTTCTTGATGTGTCGTTAGAATTCATACTGTCAGGCTTTCGCATCGTAATTTGCTTGCTTACCACAGCTCTCCACATCTTCCCCCGCCGCACAGCAATTGATAGAAGAAGTTAACCATGCCATTTGCGCTTCAGTGAGAAACCTGCTCAAAGATTGCATGACCACGACTTCATACCGAACACAATTTGAATTAAATGTAAAAGGAAAAAAGGACAAAAGACAATAGACAATAGAAAACGAGAGTGAGAATATTTCCAAAGGGAAAAAATAACAGGAAACAACTGAGTGTAAAGCTAAGAGAGCATCATTGCAAAAGTATAGATGAGAATTGAAGAATGTGATAACTCTATCTTAATGATTGGTTATCTAGGCATAAATGGGAACGTCGTACCAGACAGTCAAAGATCGAGACGCCGGAAAAAGCCTATTCGAAATTGAAAGCAAAAGGCACACCAAATTTGAGTTTCTTCGCAGCGGGTAAATATTGCATTGTAAGGCTTGAGATGGTTGTAGATGACCCATGATTCTCCCACATTGCCCATGATTACCCATGATTACCCCATGGCGTGCAGATGCATGCTCACACTTGCTTGCAGTTACGCACAATTGTTTCCGTTGGTGCATGGTGATAGGTTGTGATGAGATGGGGTGGGCGGGGTTGGAAGGGGAGATAGACCGCTAGATTGACCATTGGGCGGCAAATTTACCCAGTTGATTAAGAGGATTTGCCCCGACAGGAATGGTCTCTTGACATTTGCTCACATTTGGGTATACTTTGATGGACATTGATGGAGTCTGATGGACTTTTGGTGTACTTGAAAGGAATGAAAGGATTCAAAATTGGATGGCTGTGAAAACAGTTCAAGTTAATACTTCTTTCTGTACCTTGCAGGACGGACCAAAGTTTGTACTAATGCAAGAAATTATTTGAAGCTATTAAGAGGGATCTACGAAAATACATGTACCTGCCTAGTGCCTAGGTATGTTTCTAGGTTTAAATGCAAGATCTGGTCGGTGGTGGTCGTTCAATGAGCATTCCTGTGATGAAGAAATCCGTGCGTTTTGACATCTAGGACGATCCGGGAGAGTGACCTAGATGTGATGAGATTTCCACACGATGTGATATGTATTTTTAGTTTCTTATCACGTTGAAAGCTAAGTGACGCAAAGTTTGAGGGTGGCTCATTATTGAAATATAATGTTGATGATCATCGGGCATATACTAACTGTGCCTGGCTATGTATTTACAATGGCACACTACCAACGCTTGATATCATCATTGCCATCGAAAAGGAAATGTAAGATTTGAAGGAATGAGAAGGATTTTGAGATGTGAGTTGTATGCCGTACAATAGTGTTTCTGAGCAATACACGGGAGCGATTGTGTGTCATACATCGTGTATCTCGTATCGTGTATCGTGTATCGTGTATCATGGATGTATATAATTGTATATTGATCCCATTTGTTCAACTCAGAATGAGACAGAATATTACCATTAGATCTTTCGCTATCTTTCCCATCTTTGTAGAGGCACGGTAGCAACGCGGGGGATTTGTATCTGACGCACGTGGTGACTAAGCTCTGACTGTTGGTCAAGAAACTCTTGGAAAAGCATGAATTAGGTCAGTAAAAGTCTCTCAGCCGGTGGTGGATGTGTGTGTGTGTTTATGTATGTATGTATGTATGTGTGAAGACGAAGACAATTCATTACTGGTGGAGGGTGAGGTAAGCTATGAAGGAATTGTCTATAGTTTGGGATGATTTCGAAATTCAGGACTCTCTATCTCTCATTCACCGACCGACAATCTGTTTCTGAGGATGGATACCACAAGGATCCATTAAGAAGAGCAGCCAAATGTGAATACCGGCTCCGCCGAGCTTAGAAGTACATAACATAGTAAGCACTTCGATTATAAATCTCACTCCCATGCTGTCCGTATATGCCACCATACTGCACACTAAGAAAAACTCAATAATGGATGCGACGTGTTCGAAAGCCCATGCTCATGTAGGAGTTGTCTTCCAGAACGCCATGAATCCTGACTGTGCATGCTTACTATAGTAATGCCTAATATCCACTGCCCTCAGGATTCGGTATAGTGGTCGCCGGAAGCTTGAATACATCAGCTTAAAGCTTAGTATTCGTAAGTTTCCATTCTTCGAAAGACTCGATTCTAGAAGCCTCAGTATCTGTCGGCAATCTTGACCAACAGCGTTTCAATTGTTGTTGAAAAGAGACTCGAGAGACTCTTTGCAATGTTCGGTAGTGATTTCATAGTCATCTTGTGCCTTGTCCAGCTGTTGTTGGATATTTTCCGATCAAATCAGATAGATCACGCCGAGAATGATTTTCAAACAGTTGTATCGTAATTACGCAGCAGAACAGAGCGAATATCTGACTATGGGTGGTGTGATCTCTCGTATATATTCACCATATGAGCCACCAACAATTGGATTTAGATGGAAAGGGATGGGGTATTCTCGAGATCAAATGTTGGAGGCGCGATCCCATGATTGAAGAAAGAGGGAGATCTTGATAGATTCGGTGACATGGAAACCAACTGTTAAATAACCAACTGCCATCTACTTTGATTCGATCGACAGGTACAAAAGTGATAAAAATGGAAACACGATGATGAAGTACAGAATCCTATTGGTACTCAAATTTTCCGATGTGGCTAGGGCTTAGGGGGGCTGATATAAGGCTACTGCACGAGAAGCTTAATTTGGCTCTGGACCCCTTTTGTAGCAGCAAATTCAAACAAGTCCCTTACAATGTGTGAATTGGAGACTTTGTTTGGCTAATTATATTCTCAAAAAGATCCTTATAGTCGATGAATTTGGGGGCCATGTGTGAGGAAACGTTTGGGTTTATCGCGTTCTATTGGTTCCGTACGCTTGCAACGTTTACTCGTGCTGACCCCTCATTATGGCGCAGATGCACAGGACCAGCGCAGACCCAGGGAGATCCAAGTGGATCGATCTAATGTCTAGAACTCAAGTAACTGGTATCGTGAAGTACAGCACGGAGTTCCTGATCATTTTTAAAGGAAGTCACAAGTGCCATGTTTCGTTCTTGCCGTACTCTACACCTCGATCATTCCTTACTTTTCTTAGCACTTGGTTTGACTTGAGTGTTTCAGCAAAAGACAGTTTTTATGTTCATCAGTCTATCATTTTTATGATCCCCCTCATTGCTTTCATATTTCTTTATGATTCACAGCTCTATCATAAGATTCTCCAGTCATTCATGTAAATACTTGCTCCTACACAACAGACGCTCTTTGCTCTTAGCACCACTCCCTAAGGGAAGCAGATAATGTGTGTGCATCTTTGAATTCACCACTGCTAATATGCATGATCATATATGATTGCTCGTCTATTTTTTGAACTGTTCAGATCTCCATAATCATGAGACTGAAACCAACTTCTAACGTATTCCGATTTTTTTTGACGCCGTTCTAATGCATCTTTACACTGCCCTGCTTGGGCTCATAACCGGAGTGGTAGCTCAGTCTACTGTAGATTATTCACAATATGTTCTCACATCAGTAAGTTTATGCGATACCCAATACCAGACTTTACCTAATGTGCTTTCTAGAATGGCGAGGCCAGTGGAGGCAATACCTTCCCTGGAGTTTCTTTACCTTTTGGTATGGTCAAGCTTGGGCCTGATATGTTTACGGGAAGTGATAGTTATTCTGGAGCTGCATTGAGTGGCAACTTTACCGGATTTTCCATGATGCACGAGAGTGGAACTGGAGGATCACCGAAATATGGCGTCGTCTCACAGATGCCAATACTTGGGAACATAACCAACCCACTGATCAACCTGAATGATACTCGAGCCTCTCCCGATATCACATCGGTAGGATACTATAAAGCTTCGCTGGGAAGCAACATCACTGTCGAATTGTCGGCAACAAGTCGTGCGGGATTTTATCAGTATACATTCCCAGAGGGAGAAGGTACCCCAAACGTAGTTGTTGATGTGTCTCATGTATTACCATCCTATCGAAAACAAGGCCTTTCTCAGAATTACCTTGGCGGGAATATCACTGTGCTAGAGGATGGACACTATGAAGGATTTGGTGATTATAACAATGGATGGAATATGGCACCTGACTGGAGAATATACTTTTGTGGCTATTTCGAAAGTCCAGCGACGTCAAAGACATTTATAGGAACGAGCCTCAATGGAAGCGCAGTCGCAAGTTATGGTACAGAGAAATCTGCTTCTTCCAAAACTCGACTAGGAGCCATATTCAGTTTCAACACTACAACGGTAGTCTCCAGAGTAGGGATATCTTTTATATCATCAGCCCAGGCTTGTGGAAACGTCAATTCACAAATACCTCCTGGTAAAACGCTCTCCACCTTGACCAACGATGCGAAAAGTGTCTGGAATACCGAGGTTTTATCCAAAGTCACGACTACCGAGACCAATAAAACGAATTTGCAGTTGTTATATAGCTCCCTGTATTTCATGCACTTATTACCATCCAATCGGACCGGGGAAAACCCACTCTGGGCTTCATCAGAGCCATACTATGATGATACCTTTACGACGTGGGATCTATTTCGGTGTACTTTTTCGTTGCTTCATATACTTCAGCCAGTAGCATATGAGGAGTATATCCGATCACTAATTGACATTTTCCGATTTGAAGGTTATATGCCAGATGCGAGATCCTCAAATTTCAATGGTGCAATACAAGGGGGGTCTAACTCTGATAATGTGCTAGCTGATGCCTATGTAAAGGGGGTGAGAGGGGCAGTGAATTGGACCACTGGATACGAAGCTATGGTCAAAAATGCTGAGATTACCCCCGATAATAATAACGATCCTCGAGATAATTCGTCTTCGACTAAAGAAGGTCGTGGAGCACTTCCCGATTGGTTACAGTATGGGTATATCACACCAAAATATGGCCGATCTGTGTCTCGAGCTGTCGAGTATTCTTTTAACGACTTTTCCCTTTATCAAGTAGCGACTGGGTTAGGAGTAAAAGATGACGCAACGAAGTATTTGAAGAGATCTCGTAATTGGGTAAATCACTGGAACCCGAATGCTACTTCTCTAGGATTTAATGGGTTTCTCGTTCCTAGAAGTGCATTAGGATTCATCAAACAGGACCCACTCTCGTGTGGTGGTTGTTATTGGGGAGATGCTTACTATGAAGCACTACCTTGGGAATATTCCTTCAATATGCATCATGACATGAACACACTGATCGCATTATCAGGTGGACCATCAACCTTCGTCAATCGTCTTGACACCATGTTTAAAGCTGGGATCAACACCTCTGGGCGCTCATCAGCATTTAACAATACGATTTTCAACCCAGGGAATGAGCCATCGTTCACCACACCTTACTTGTATAACTACGTGGGAAGGCAAGATTTGAGTGTGATGCAATCTCGATACATTGCAAAGTCATATTACTCACCTACACCTGGTGGGTTACCAGGGAATAGTGATGCTGGCGCAATGGAATCATGGCTAATCTGGAATATGCTTGGGTTATACCCTATGGTAGGGCAAACCACCTTCTTAATTGGCAGTCCATGGTTCGCCAACACAACTATTCAACTTGGTGGCGGAAAAACACTTGCCATGACTACTGTTGATGGATCCGAGTCCTCCTTCTATGTCCAATCTCTCAAGGTTAATGGAAAACCATGGAATCAATCATGGCTTACTTGGAACGATGTCTTTGCCAATGGTGGAACAATGGATTTTGTTCTTGGGCCTCAACCCTCCAATTGGACAACGGGACCAGCACCACCAAGTCCAGCGAGCATGGTCAGCGACACTGCCAATCCCAACAGTGTTCTGACACCGGTGCCCACAGCTCCCGATCCTAAGTCTCATAATGGCATTGAACGGGAGAGGAGAAAAGCAATGCTGAGAGAGATAGCTTTCGTGATCCTAGCTATAACTGTGGTAACAATTTCCTGCGGAGGAATTTGGTATTGGCGAAAAAGAAATGCTACAATGAAAGTAGATGTTGATGATCAAGAAAAGGGGCCCAAATAGGAAGGGTTTGCACGAGGAATTGAACATAGTAGCAAAAACTACAAACAAAAGTTATTGGGATGGATAAAATGGAGACCAATGGGTGCTCCAAAGAATGATTTGAATAGATCAATCACTACAAAGAATGGCCTTAGGAGTATCAGTGAAGATACTATGGTTGATGTGAGAGAATCAGACAACCAAAGTCCTGGGAAGGTACCTATGATTAAAGTGAAAGGACTTCATGAGACTTCATCTGAGGAAGCTCTTGAACCTTGGACGCCTTCTGGAACAAACAGAAGGATATTTGATGAGAGGGGTTAGGTCATAAATGAATAATGGAAGCAAAAGCTGTGGGATATACTACTAGATGATTAGATATAGATATAGAATATAGAAAGAACATAGATTTGTATAAGAGCAGATACTTCATATTTTCCCGTACCATTATATTCAATAGACTGATTTGAGGGGCTTCTCTTCTGGCATCAATCAATTGTCAACCAACAACTGTCAATTGTTGTAGTATTCATCCCTTGTTTCGAAAAAGTTTGCGCTAGAGCGAAGGGTATTGTATATTCAAATGCAGAAAAGATACATCGATTTGAAAATTGTCTAGAACAACAGTTGTGTATGATTAATATCGATTTTACTCGATAATTCCTTGATATTTGCTTGTACAGAGGCGACTAGGCACTCGGACCACATCAACAAGCTCGGACCATAATAGAGCTTCCAGTTTCCCAAAAGTTTAACTTCCCCGAGGCTCTCAATAATTTATTCCCAAAGTCAAACCGTTTGTGCAGACAGTCATGAATTTATGATTGCAAATCAATAACTTTCCTAAAACAAATTGATACGAAGAATTAGGAATACATCTTTCAACAGCATACTGCAACACAAAGAATCTAAATTCCAAGATGTTGTTTCCAGAAGAAGATGCAGGAGAATTGAAGAAATGGATCATAAAGAGACTTGAAAATACGTATGTTCAGCTTCAATTTCCGTCATCCTATAGATATGATATTAATTTTCTTTATAGATCAGATGCAGATGCAGATGTTCTTGCCGATTATGTTCTTGCTTTATTGCGACATGATGGAGATGTCAACACAGTTCGACAGCTTTGTATGGCTGAAATTCCCGATTTCTTGAAAGAGGATACATCAATTTTCGTCCGAGATGTCTTCGATGCCCTCCAATATAAGACTTATTTGAGTGGTGGGCCTCCTCGTCGCGATTCGCAACAATTCGCGCCACCTACTGGACCATCAGCTCCAGCTTTCAACAACCCAAATATGGGAACTTCGATGGGCCATCAAAACGGTTCCCGAAAGCGCGCATTTGATGGACGAGGCGATGGAGATTCTCAAATGTATACGGGGGCGGAGACCAGAATTCGCGCGCGTTTAAACAACCTCGAAGAGGCGGCGCGGCAGGACGTGGAGCTTTTGACAATTTCAATAATGGCAGAGGAGGGTTTCAAGGTCGTCCACAACATATGCAAATGCCTAATGCGCAATTCATGCCTAACATGCCTAACATGCCAGGTTCTCCAACAGGCTTACCTCCTCTCGATCCAAACAATCCAATGGCAGCTCTTCTCGCTATGCAGCAAGCTATGGGTGCGATGGGTATGCCTCTTCCACAGGGTATGCCAGGATTTCCTCCTAGCGGAGCTAATCAAAATAGAGGGCATCAAGGTCCAACGGGCCAGAGGAAACAAAGATGTCGAGATTACGACCAAAAGGGATTTTGCGCGCGAGGAAATACTTGTATGTTCGAGCATGGTCAAGATTCGATATATGTTCCTGGAGGTGCCGGCAAACCTACGGACGAGTACGATCCAAGCAATGCGTCGCTTATGACCGGAAATCAGAGCCAGAATGATAGCAGCCAACGATCGGTACCACACAGCGGCTTTGAAAACAACCGTGGTGGTATGGGACGTGGCAGAGGGCAGTCTATGGGCAGAGGTGGATCGCAAATGCATTCTAACAGAGGTGCGAGACGATCAGAGTTCTCATCAGATCGAGCAAACCATAACAAGAACAACACTACAATCGTAGTAGAGCAAATTCCAGAAGACAAGTTCTCAGAGGAAACCGTTCGAGAATTTTTCACTCAATTCGGTAACATAAAGGAGGTAGACATGAAACCATACAAACGGTTGGCTCTGATCACATTTGATGACTGGAACGGGGCAAATGCAGCATACAGCTCACCCAAGGTTATCTTTGACAACAGATTTGTAAAGGTCTATTGGTTCACAAATAATGAAGCGCTTCCAAAGCCTCCTGCTAACGGATCATTTAATGGCACAAATCATAACGGCACATCAGGCCCAGTCCCTGCAAGAGAGTCGGATGAACCTCAGATTGATCTCGAAGAATTTGCGAAAAAGCAGCAAGAAGTACAGAAAGCTCACGAGGAAAAAATGAAGAAGAAGCAGGAAATGGAAGCCACTCGTAAGGAGCTGGAAAGACGTCAAGAAGAGCTTCTGAAAAATCAAGCCGAGGAAAAGAGAAAGCTGATGGAAAGGCTTGCGGCCAAGTCTGGTAAATCTGTATCTCCAGGCATCAACGCAGAAGGTGGTTCTCCTGCGCCCGCACCTTCGTCTCAAACAGAAGCCTTGAAGAAACAACTTGCAGCTCTAGAGGCGGAAGCTCAATCTTTAGGGTTACCAAGTCTGGATAGCCCTCTTTCAGATGATACATGGGGTGGGCGAGGTCGCGGACGTGGTGGCTATAGAGGTAGAGGTACTTTTGCTCCACGCGGTTTTCGAGGTGGCTTCAGAGGGCGTGGCGGTGCTGCTTTTGGTGGTGGTGCACCAGCTCGCTATAATCTTGACAATCGAACGAAGAAGATTGCCGTTAGTGGTGCCGACTTTACAAATCCCCAGACGGACGAGAGCTTAAGAGAGCATCTTTTGGTATGATTTCCTTTTTTTCTCCTCAGAATTTCCGTTGAAACTACGTGTACTAATAAACTCATAGGGCATTGGTGAATATACCGAACTCACAAATACACCTAGTGGTTGTCAGATTACCTTCAAAGATCGTCACACAGCTGAGAAATTTATGTATGGTCTTCAGAACGGCGAAATTCCATCGGTAGGGAAGGTTGAACTATCATGGATTCAAACGCCTCTACCACCAGTTACATTGCCAAACACCCAGAACTCAACCGGAGGTAGTAATACAGAATCAGATTCCAAGATGGAAGGTGGAATGGAAGGTGATGCCATGGCTCAAGATTCTAATTCAATGGGTATGAGTGGACATGGTGGTGAGAGGGACATGCAAGAAAACATCGATTATGATGTTGCGGGTGATGACGATTGGCAGTAGATTGATGGATCAGACGATTTAGCTGGAAATGAGAAAGGGGTAGGCGGATCAAGAAGCATATTCAATAAATCTAGGATTGAATGATTGTATACTGAAGAACATGAATTTTTCTTGTACGAATTTGGCATTTTTGTAATAACAACTCGAGAGCGAGAGATGGAGAGATGGAGCAAAAGATACCTAAGCGGGCAGGAAATGCACATAACAGATGCCTTTATCATGAGAGAAGATATCCGACTTAAGTCATATGAAATGAAGCATACAGAAGCATCTTGTTGACCGGACATATGTATATGTGATCAGAGATACCATGAATATGGATGTTATAGGAGCAAGATAGAATAAATGTTACTCCAGAGATTTGAATAGCAAAGTGTTGAGTGGACTTTTATTGTGATTCGAATGGAGGAAATTTCTGAATCTATTTTCTTGATTGTTTGATGTATTATGGACTGTCGAATCATGGAAATATACATGGATATATGGTATTATCGTACTAATATATATTCTACCTAGTATTGATAGGTATTCTATTTACACAATGTTAAAGATATTGCTGTATTCTTATATTACGAAAAATTAAAGAAAAATGATAAATGCAAACCATGGTGATTGATCATAAATCATACTTCATAGATAGATGTCGCTTATATTATTTACTCCTTTGCTCGTCTTCATAATGTATACACACATGCCAAGTCATGAATAACCCAGAAACCGAGGTACTCAGTTCGAGTCAGCCTATCTAAACTGTACATGTATTCGAGCTTTTTATTCGCCATTGCGGGTTTCCAGAATCCACTTGTCGCTTTTTTTTTGGTCTAAGACTAAAATAAAAGCATGAAACGATTTTTTTAGCTCCTGAGTGAAGCGGAGTGGAGACGATCGATGGATGGGTGAGCGTTCTGACCAGAGTGCCGGAATTCCCTTAAGAGTTAATATGTTCATAGAGACAGACAGGGATATCTTTACCAATTTTTAGGAATTCGATTGTGAGAGATATTTTGCCTGGGTTATTCGTATAGATGAATAGATAAATGAACATCTTATCCCATCTCTCAACCCCATCTCCACATTTCACCCCCTAGCATCGGCGAATTCCCCAAACATGAGACGAACAACCCGCAAAGCCCTCGTGCATCTCACGCTTTTCAGCAGCGCCCTCTTCCTCATCATCTACCTCAACCGCTCATCCAGTAACACCTCTTTCCCCTGGACCCGCATCCGGTACACGCACGATGGGTTATCCCGGAAAACCCCCCTCCCCCCTCCCCACGGCATCTGTCCGGGACTCTCCACAACGACCAAACCCGCTCTCATCGTCTCCCGCGTCGAAGCCGACGGCGACCCCAGCTGGCTCGATACGCTCAGCCACAAATATCACATCTGCATCTACAACGTCGATTCCTCTCCTCTCCTGAAATTTTCTCAGAAAATCCTTCAGGTACCCGCTAATCGCGCGCATGAAGCAATGCCCTATCTCACATTCCTCATTGACAATTACGCAAATATTCCTGCGGCGGGCGCGGTCTTCGTCCACGGAAATCGCTTTCAGTGGCATAATGATCACCCCACATACGACAATCTGGATTTGTTATCGCACCTTAATCTTGAAAGTGCGTTGGCGGAAAACGGGTATCATAATCTCAAATGTGATTGGAGTCTCAGTACGTGTGGAGATAAAGCAGTAGCTCAAGGAAGTCTGGAGACGAGTATGCAAGCATCGCTGCAGCCGTGGGATAAGAGAGCGGTTTCTGATGCGGCGATGCCGAAGGCGTTGAGAGTGTTATTCGGAGAGGGGAAACAGTTGAGTAGAACGGATGTTGTGAGGAGTCAATGTTGTGCACAGTTTGTCGTTTCGAGGAAAAGCATTTGGAAGCATGAGAGAGAGGAATATGTAGCGCTGAGACAGTGGCTGTTGAATCCTAATGGGGCACCGAAAGATGACAAGGTAGCGGGTAGGATATTGAGTTATTTGTGGCACGTGTTATTTTTGGAACAGGAAGGTGGTGAGGAGGGAATGGTAGATTTGGAGAGACTCAATAGACAGGCGTGTCCGAGTGCACAAAAGTGTTATTGTCGACTCTACGGGAAGTGCGATTTAGATTGTAGGACAATGGGGACTTGTCGAGGACAGTATGCATTGCCGAAAGATCTCAGGCTTCCGGAGGATTATGGAAAACAGTTTGAGCATTTGGATGATCACTCGGATAGTCTTTGAGGTTTGAGAGTCGAGGTTTTTGCATATTGGATGGAGTTGGAGATTGGACATTTGTGTTTTGATAGAATATTAATCATTGAAATTACCTAGGAATGGTACATTCACTATTCAAAATAATATATTACACATCTAAGAAACATTATAATTACAATAATACTACATTAGAATGAGAGAACCAGAGACCGAATTTTAAGTATCCTCTGAGAAATTCTTCAAATAGCCGAGACACTGTATCTTGTATGTAAGGGCTGCTGCACATGGTATCTTATGTCAGAATTGAATTACGATTGTCGATAACCACTTGTCGAAATGTAGATTTAAGTGTCACAATTTCACAGCCAAAAATAGATAAATAGAAGCAAGTAGAACCAAAGACCTAGGACCAAGAAAAAGAACATTATTTCCTTCCCAATATCCACATAAAGTATTGTACACCAGTGATACTCCGATCATCCATAGATCGATTTATCAGCCCTTCCATAAAATCACCTTCCAGGTATCATATCACGTAGTAAAGTCATTTACCGCGTAATTACTCTTCATCAAACACCTCCTCAACTCTTGGTGTTAAATTTCGTTGTGTAGTTTCTCCGGTAGAAATTTGTGCTGTTGATCCTGTTGTGGTTGCTGATGCTGGAGCTGGTTGACCTGTCATTGCTGCTCCAATAGCGTTTGCACTAGCGGAGGCACTTGACTTGGACTTCTTCTTGCCTTTCTTCTTCTCCTATTGATCATGTTAGCTTTTCCTGCTCCATAACAAGATATTTCATGAGAAGGAGAACATACCTCTTGCCATCCCCAGACGGGTCTGAAACTGTCGAAGAATCCAACGTCCTCAAACAGATTTGGGTATAACCATAATCCAGGAGGTACCGCAAACATTGTAATACCAAACAGAATTAATCTGAAAATTGCCATCGCAAAGAACAATCCTAATAATCCAAGCATACCCATACTTAGATACCAAACACCCAATCTCATCTTCATTGGCCAAAGTGGGAACATGACAATTGCAAATACAATCGCTAATGCTCCAGCAGCGTACAATTTCTGTTTGATTTGTGCACCTTCATAAAGCCATACGAAATGGAGCTCTTCCTTGCATTCTTGCTGTTGTTCGATTTTGACAGTCCAAAGCCCTTTCACCCGCTTTGTATTATGAGCACCAGGTGCATGATCATGACCTTCATGAGGGTCGACTTTAGAAATACGAAGTGCAAGGAGCGAAAGTGGGAGAAGTTTGAAGCAGTTTTCGAGTGAGGCGCGATCAGTAATTTCGGGAGAAGTGGGTTCTTCTTGCGAGCTTTTTCATAAGCTGGTGATTGAATAGCTCGGAGAGCACGTTTCACTGTAATTGCATGTTAGAAAATAGTTGTAATATGGTAGTGAAAATGCTTACCTTTGAACATGTTCTTTCTCTGACCATTCAAAATACATGTTCTCGCTTTTAAGTCCTGACTCATCAAGAAGTTTGCGAGAGCAATGGCTGCTGGATTTGGAGGGCCTGGTTGAATTGGTTGAGGTTGCTGTTGCTGCTGTTGGGCCATTGCAGCTTCTCTTTGTTTCTGCTGTTGGGCCATTGCATCCGCCTTTATTTTTTCCACAAATTCGGGTACAGTCATACCAGCTTTTGCTGCATCTTGAGCCAATTTCTCTTTCATCGCCTGGACTTGTTCTGGAGATGGTGGTGGGCCTTGTTGTAGAGCTTGTTGCTGAGCTTGTTGCGCTTTAATCTTTGCTACAAATTCAGGTACAGACATTCCAGCCTTTTCGGCGTCTTGAGCTAGCTGCTTCTGCATGGCCTGAATTTGTTCCGGAGATGGCTGTTGGCCTTGTTGTAGAGCTTGTTGTTGAGCTTGTTGCGCTTTAATCTTTGCTACAAATTCAGGTACAGACATTCCAGCCTTTTCAGCATCTTGAGCTAGCTGCTTCTGCATGGCCTGAATTTGTTCTGGAGATGGCTGCTGGCCTTGTTGGGCTTGTAATCGGGCTTGATTTTGCGCATTCATCTTTGCTATGAATTCAGGTATCGATAATCCTTGTTGTTGTGCTTGTTGGGCGATTTGCTGTTGCATCATCTGTATTTGTTCCGGACTTGGTTGTGAACCATCTGGTAATCTGAATTGAATTTGACCCAGTCCTGGTGGTGGTCCTTGTTGGGGATCTGCTTTTGGAGAATCCATATTGGAATTTGTAAAGTCGAATACAATATGTGGTGGATGTAAGGGAAATTTCTACGGCAAAATGTGGTTGAAGTGGGTGAATGAGTGAGTGAATGCGTGAATCAGTGAATAAAGATTTATTAAAGTTATCTGTCCAAATCTTTATTTAGTGTGGCTATAAATCGGGTTATACAGCCACACGATGTGGCGGACGCTAACAGGCAGATGAGGTAAGCTGCAACTCGTGAGGCATGCTGGCATGAACGGTGCACGGAGCTTCAGCGCACGGCTTGTCCAAGGATTACATGATTTCCGAGCTTCGACAAGGAATGTGAGCATCAGCGGCATTAGCGTCCTCAGGCATCCCGGCTACATGATCACATGATCACCGAATCGAGCTCATCTCTCAAACCTCCTTCATCATCGAATCGGCTAACTTATATGAAAAGAGCTAAAATGACAAAATGAAAAAAGAACTTCACACTTTTAGGTTCTATAACCATTATCTAAACCTATTTCATTATCTGGATTCTATGATAAGGATGATTGATCATTTCTTTATTAGTTGACCATAATACTCTCCTTCTCTCATTCTTTTCTTACCTTCATAAAATACCTTGTGGTGACCGTTCACAAGCTATGACAGCATTCAGTTATTCGGATGCTTCGGATGGAAAAGAAAACAGAGGGGCAAAATTCGCAATTATTGAGTAGAAGACAGACATTGATACTCACTTGGTAAAATGAGTGAAAGTTATAAACCGGATAATGCTGCTTTACCAGAGTCTCCTTACGATATAGCATTTCTGGTGTGTAATGCTCTTTTGGTCTCATCAATAGGGGCACTCTTGCTAATTGTTTCTTAGTCACAAAGAGATTTGGGATTGAATATACCAATCAATTATGCTACGGCTCCTGGTGTTTCTTTGACGGCCGCATGTTTCTCATTTCTCAAATATGAGGATAATAATGCGGCTACGTGCATTTCCAATTTATTAGCGAATGGATTCCGGAGACTGGAAGTGGATTTATATTGGGATGAAGCAAGGCAATTATGGACTTTTTGTCCTGCTGCCGTACCAGTTTCGAGCTCGGATGTTGCCTCTACACCAACTTCAACATCGACGCTTTCATCCACCATAGCCAGTTTGACTTTAGCCCAGCAAACTACAGATTTGATTCCTAGGCAAAATGCAGCCACGAGTTCCATCATTACTTCACCAAGTATGACAGGTGTAGATGGTACATTTATTTCAAGACCTACTTCTCATAGTTTGTCTTCAGTGAACGTGATAGCAAGCTCTCTCGAATCAACACTACCTGTAGCCTCTGCGATCCCAAACACTTCGAACAAATCATTGTATAATGTTGGAAGTTACACTTGTACTAACACTATCAGCTTGCATATGCTAACAAGTATTCTTTTGGATTACATACAAGAAACACAAAATACGATTGATGCATATATGTTGACACTGACTCTCAATATCCACGCGGTAAAGACAGGTTCTAGCATTGATGACCCTGCCCCTCAGCCACCCGACCTTCCAGCTCCGTTAGAATCTTTAGGGTTCCTCTTCGCGGCAAATTTATCAGCATTCATATATACGCCAAATGATCTAAGGTCCAATCGAGAAAATTTAAATACATCTTGGTATCAGGTTACTGAAAGATATCGACCTGCCTTAGATTATTATACTACCGTCACGCAAGAATTTGGCATCATATCCACTGAGGATGGTTGGCCATCAGAGTCTTACATCGAGTTCTCTCAAGGCAAACGAATGCTTTTACAGTTTGGCTCTGTGGATCCTCAAATGGAGAATTATAATTTCAGTGGAGATGCAGGGACTATCTTCCCTCCAGGCTATCTTAGCAATCGCCGCGACAATGACACATTAGTCAGTGCTGATGGCGTGGTGGAAACTGGTTGCTTCCTTGTTAATGCCACCGAAGACGTTTCTCAAGTAAACTCATCCTGGGCAACAGCGGCAAACATACCCGGATTCGACTATCCCACAAAGTCGAATTCCAATTTGACTTCCCTCCTCAACCTAACATCCTCTCTCACAAAGTGTGGCATATCTCCAACCCTAAACACAACCCTCCTCAACACCACCGCTGACACCAACAACCTCCCCTACCAAAACTATACCTACTCCACCATCTGGTCCTGGGCCCCCTACGAACCTCGCTCCTCCAACGACAGCAACAGTGACAGCGACGACCCTCTCTTCCGCTGCGCCACTCTCCACCCGTCCACCACCCACTGGCACGTAACCGACTGCTCCACCAAACTCTACGCCGCCTGTCGCGCTCCCTCACAACCCTACAACTGGACCCTCACCACCTACCCCATCTCCTACTCCTACGCCGCCCAAGCCTGTCCCTCCCCCTACCTCTTTTCCGCGCCCCGCACCGCCCTCGAAAACGCATACCTCTCCCAAACAACCATCAATCTCTCTCCCGCCCGCGACCTCGACACCGACAATCCAAAAATCTGGCTCGATTTTAATTCTCTCGATACGAAAAATTGCTGGACGTCAGGTGGTCCGAATGCCACGTGTCCGTATAGCAATGAAGAGGCCGACGATAATACGAGAGAGAGAGCCGTGATTGTGCCGTTGGTGGCGACGATTATTGTGCTGATCATTTTTTTTCTTGTGCTGTGTGTGAATTGTGGGAAGGGGGTTTTGGGGAGGAAGGGTGTGGGAAAGAGGAGGAGGAGGGTGAGAGAGGGTGCGGTTTATGAGGGGGTGCCGGCTTGAGGTTTAGGGTTGGGGTTGGAAAGTTGAGTGTTTGTATTTATGTTTCTTGTATGTTTTGTGTGCGTTTATACATACGCTGCTCATTTTGTAAAGATTGTAATTCTAATTATAAACGGCATAGGATATCAGGAGTTGGATCATAATTTTTTGTAATAGTTCAAACCAAAACTACTAGTAGATAATAAAATCCTTTCGAGTGTTTCTTTTAAGTCTTTGTGAATATCAATATTACAACGGAGATGGAAAGGTTCATACTCATACGTACACCATCTATTGCAATGCACACCATTATATCACATACTATCATCTCACACAAACATCACACAAATATAAATACCACACTAATAGGAAACAGGGTGAAAATATTCATTATAAACACCCTACCCCATCAAAATAAAGGAACAGTAAAACTCAGAATAAATTTATATGTCAATCGATCAATTTAGAGACAGTTAGATATGCCCAACAGTACGCCAGCCTACCCCTTTCCCATTTCCCCTTGATCCCGACGCCATGCTTGTATTCCCAAACTGTGTTACCTCCAAATTTACTGTTCCTGCAGCTAGCTAATTGTGATGGTTCCCATGGACTTTCTGTATGATATCACATCTAGTATGTATCCGACGCCGAATGCAACTCCTACGCTTGCTATAGACCGCATGCATGTAATTGGGTAGACGTTGTAACTTCTCAATACGTGGGGGTAATGTATGAGTTGCTACGAATGATTAATGGTGTACTTCATCTTCGCTTGCTAAGCTTCCGATTTCCGACCAACTATCTGGTGTGACAATACCGTCATCCACACTCATGACATCGGCATCACTGGTAGCGCCGCTTCTTGGGTGCCAGATTTCTTCGCCTGAACCAGCTAATGATGCGGAATCTGTAGGGGTAATCATTCCATCTCCATCAAGGGATTCGAGAGAGGAATAATCGGGATCAGAGATGGTGGGTGATGGGGGAGTAACTTGAGCGCTCTGGGTGGCTGTTGGAGTTGAAGGACGTTCGTGAGGTGTAACAGGCAGAGGAGAATAAAAGCCGGTTGCGTTATCGGTATGATCGGCCCAGGCGTGAATGGATGCAAATGGATTTTCATTGTCTTGTGCTCTTGCTGTGTAAGTTGGCTCGGTTTCCAAGTTTTCAAGGGTAGGTACAGAGACTGGTGGATCTGGGTTGAATGGTTCGGAAAGATCAACAAGAGTTTCGGCGTCTTCGTGGGCTATAGGTTCCGCTGGCGAAAGAGTGGAGGTACTTTGTCGAGAGCGGGATCGAGTTCGGCCTTCGTGGCAACTGTATAATCCTTCAGAGTCCGATTCGTATTGTTCGCCGTCTCCAGGAGACATTAAACTTCTATCCATAGCTTGTTGTTCCTCGCTGTCAATACCGTGCTCATCTGCAAATGGGTTTGCGTAGATTGTCGATCGATTTAAACCTCGGACGCCTCGTCGATGAGTAAGACCCTCTTCAGCTTGACCATTTAAATCTGTACCAGTATTGTAAACGAAAGTGCCCTTCTCAGCGTTGGGATCCTCTTGTAAGAAATCCTCAAAACTCGGCTTTCGACTCGGGTTTCCCGCTGGTCTTTTCTCATCCATCCTCTGCTCCTTTTCCATTCTTTCCATGCGTACTGCATTCCAATACATCAATTCCTCTCTCTGTTTTCTCCTACTATCCTCATCGGCATCTACGCCCACTTCCGAAGCACTCTGCATAAAACCCTCTGCATCCTCAGGTCGGTTGAAACGAGGTTGTCGACTGTTCGGATTGATTTCATCGCCGAGGGAATGTAATGCGACTGCGATTCTACGACGAACATCTTCAGCGAATTGTCGGGCTTGTGGTGATTCGTAAACTGCTATCGCCGCCTATTAAATCTATTAGTTCTTGAGTTTCTTCGTTGTGCATTGCATGGATTCTGTAAAAAGAGGGGAAACTTACGCCTACAGCCACAGCAGCTATGATTACCGCACCTGAAACCAAAACGGGATGATTAGGCATGTTCCCTCAATAAGCTTTGTGAGATAAGGGAAAGGTATTGATGAAGAGATTGAAGGAAATCTCTCATGGAGAAGAGAAGGATGAGAAAGTAATAGGAATTCTGGGTATTGAAGTGATAAATGGTTGCCTCTTATGAGGTTGCGTATACAAAAAACACCGCCACTACTTGCAGGGTTATCGGGTGATCTTCACCTATCACAGGATAAGAATTGGGGTGCTGTAACTTGTGTGTATATGAATGAATATCACGGACTTAAATTGTGGCAATATGCCGTGCCGTACAATCATTTATGAATTACTTACCTGGAGATAACATGAAAGGCATTTTTGGATTTTATTTTTGGTTAATCAAAAAACTTGAAAATTGAATTACATGAAAACCTAGGGTCAAAAAGAGAGAGAGAGAGAAACAATAGGTACAATATCAAGAGATGGATGGGACGTTTGTAGTTCTATATAAAGAATCCTTTAGAGCAGAGGCAGACTAAAACGGAGCACGGAATGAATGATGTTGGTTTGACAAAAGAGGCGTCTAAGAGTTTGAGGGGGAGTAAACTCCACACTACTGTAAATAGTTTGAATTCTACCGTGCCGCTTGATAACCGCTCAAAGTAATACCCATGAGGAAGCTGGAAGCCCTGTCTTTTATGGTCGTATTGTCATTTTCACGAAATATTGGATTTCCCAATTAGACCGGTTCACGACGAAGGAGAGTGCGTAATACATGTCTAGGAGGTTTCAAAGTTCTCTCAAATCATCGACATTTTCAATATTGAAGGGAAGAGGAACAAAGCATTCCTTGCTTACGCCAACCATTAACCATTTTTGGTTTCATGATGTTTGCGTGTTCTGGGGAGATTCGTCTATCTCGCATTGCATATGTACAATTGAGTTGGTGCACTACGTATGTACGGTACAGTACAATGACTATTTTTCATGGGCCAGAGATAATAACCTCCACTTTGGCATAATCTTGGAAAGTCTATCGATAAACTAAAAGTCCCAAAGCAAGGCCAAGTGTGGGGGGAAGAATGAATCATGATTTCATGCCTCATCTGAGCCCGGTTATCGACTTGTACTTATGTCCGATCGGTAGTTGCTTTCTTTTAACTTTCCCCTTAACGAGTTAGCGACACGCTACGTGAAAAAGACATATGATAAGTCTATTCCTGGCAGATATCAATCTTCGGGTTTGAAAACGTCAATCACGAGAATCCCAAATCTAGGAATTATCTATCCTGAATGACGTTTAGAAAAGTATACTGTAACTTAGTCAATATAATCTAGAAGTAGATCCAACAAGTACAATTTAGAATCTTTGCCTAACTTCCTAGGAACGACAAGTACTAATAGCCCAGAAATCCTGCACCTAATATAAAAATGTCTTCGGCTGCCTCTTAAAATTCTCATATGTCCCTAATAGAAACCTCATGAATCCTCAGTATCGAACATAATTCGAAAGCATGGCTGCAAGACACACCCCAGTGCCATCGGTCGGACCTTCAGGTTCAACCTTCTCGTCCGCAGTATCGACACAGAAGAGTCTTTCAGAGGTTTACGCCGACTTTCACAAAGAGTATTATCAATTATTAATCCGGAATAAAGAACTAAGCGATGCTAATCGCAAATTCAAAGTTAATACGTCGTATGTTCCCATTGCCGTGGAAAGGTGACACATTTGCGCTAATACCAGATAGCAATCATAAAAGAGTTCATGGAGCCACGCCCTTTTCTTCCTCTGGATCTTCCGTAACCCTTACCGGCTCTGCATCCCCAACATCAAGTAACGTACCATCCTCGGCCCGAGATAAATTGCAAGAAGTAGCATCATTGCTTCCAGCTAGTGATGAGCCATTTTTGAACAATTTTCAGGCGTCAAAGAAGATATGGAAGCCAGAGTAAGAATATGGAATCATTTGGCCGAGGAAAATGAAAAGCTTTTCTTTGCAGTAAGACTCAAGCAGGCTATGGATGATGCAGAGTTAATCGCAACTAAAAAAAATGCACATGTCATGTACCACAACGAGTTGGACATAAAAACATCGTTCGACAAGTATGCCAGCGACATGAGAAAGGAAAACGGAGATTATGAGATTCCAAAACTGGACCTCGGACAAAAATTCCATTTAGCGGATGTCTTCGGTCATAGATTTGGATTCGGGACATACTATTAGTTCTTGTCTCCTACCCACAGCCATTGAGTTCAAAATCATCTAGGCAAACGACATATACACGGTAGAGATGAAGCAAATAGGAAAGATGGAGTGGATTAGAGATTGTGATGAACGATATGGACATAGGTGGAGACAATAAAAATATATAATGTATAATCATAATATAATTGTATCATTCTATGGTATCCTGCCCTTTCATAACAGTTCAAGTTAGCCAATGATTGAACCTTGTGAACAATCGGAATCTTGGTTGAAAGTTACCCTCTAAATTGTATAAGCCCATCTTAAACACCTTGAGATAAACACTGATGTGAAACATGCCATATGTATCGGGTGAAGTGATGGAGAAAGACTGTTTTTGAGATTCGTAGAATGATATATCGATTCAAAACGCTTCTTTGAAATTCACTCAGGCTTCTCAGTGTTTGTGGGGCTATCTTTCGTTTCCTCCGTTTTTGTGGCAAGCGCCACTTTGTCCCCTTCTGACTTGGGCTGTTTGGGTGTTATAGCATCTTCCTTTTCCACAATCACGCACTCTTCTTCTTCAGCTTTCCTCTCCTCTGCTTCTAGATATTTCGAATAATCTTTCCAGAGCTGTTCTACCGGCCTTCCACAAAGTTCAGTCCAAAATCGTTTCTCTTCGTATCGCTCAACTCTCAATTTTTCGTTCACCCTCCTTACAGTGCCTTTGCCGAATCTCTGTTCCAGATATTCAAGAAAATAGCCGGTGTGTTGGTAACCTGCATCCCATTTCCCGGTAGCCTCTCTTTTCCAATGAGGTGGACTCAAATTGGCGTTCAATCGAACCCAATCTGCAATTCCTTCAACCAAGCCACCAGGGCAAGTATTGAATCCATTGTATTGGTAGCAATGTACCATTTCATGAGTCAACACACCCATGATCTCATGCTTCTTTCGATCCGGCTGTATTGATTCGTGCTGGATGTAGTCTAGAGATAAATGTATCTCCTTGTGATCATTGTCAAAGTCGCTACCTGTTGTATATGCCACACCTTCCATGGAACGGAGGATCAGGGTCACCGATCGAGTTGGAGTCGGAGTTGTGGTAGGACAATCAGGGGACTCATATAGTAGCGTGAGAACGCTTTGAACTGCTGTCTGTAGAGCCTCGTTCGCTATAACGGCGGTCAAGAAAGTATGCGATCCTGCATGATTGAGATCCCGTAACTCGAGGCGTAACTTGGGTAGAGGAAATTTGATGGACGGATTGGAACTATCATCTTTATTAAGCTTCGAAGACGGCTTTGCTTTCGAAGGAGGCATCGGTATGGGAGTTGGAGCCGGTGAGGTGCTGGAGAATTGAGGCATGAATATAGGTGGAGGAACCGGGCTGGTTGCGGGGGAAGTGGGCATTATGCGGGTGATATGTAGGGTTCAAAGGATCAAAGGATAAGGTTTAGGACAAGGTCACTCCTTGCAAGGATCCTGTTGCATTGATCTTCTTATGCGGAATTGCAATAATGAAGGTTGAATACTGGGTGATATCGGTAACGGAGTGAGTAATGAGTGCCGTGCCCAGTCTCCTAGCTTGACCTTGTTGATGTAGCAGAGGGATGAGCTTCTTTCAAGTTGAGGCCTCAGATGCGGTAGGGAGACAGGCTGTAGATGTTTGTTTATATATTGCCAAATGAGAATGACCGAAAGGGCTTTCTTTATTTCTTGAATGGGAATCAATATTGAGATGATAGGTTCCAAGGTTGTCAACAATGGTATTTACATGTCCAATGAGAGGTATAGAAATGTTCATGTCTCTTACCAATCTGACCGGCTTATCTCCTCTTACTGGGGTCTGATCGTATTTATAATAATGGAAGCTCTGAGACTAGTCCGTGCTTCCCCTGCCCGGGCAACCATAATTTGTTTTGACGCGACAGATTTATCTCCAAAGGGAATTTGGAAAGTTACATACTAAAGTACAACATCATCGTAAGTGTCTCCAAATTTCATAATTTCTTAATGTGAATATTGTGCTACATTATCATCTCTTCAATAGCCGAATGCCATACTGTGCATAACCTCCTTTATTCTCAAATCACTGACAGCACATCTCATCTCCAGATAGGCACATATCCTGATTTGATATTTACGGTTTCTTCAACTTCACCCCACCTCAATCATGGGTGAAAAGATCACCGAAGATCAAGTAGCAAACTTGCTGGCCATACTTCGAACAGATGCTTTGATAGATTCGAAGGTCAATCAGATCAACAACATCAAATCCAGTATCAAGCAACATAACGTTCCAGAACCATGCATACTTTCACTATTCGAAGCCTTGCGCATAGCAATGTCGTCGCAGCACGCCGCGCTAGTCAACGCTGGGTTCTCTACCCTCAATCATCTCCTCACCAGATTGTCACGCCAGGAGCCGAAATATATTGTCAAGGAAGCTGCCCGAACTCTGCCAATGATAAATGATAAGATGGGCGACCAGAGGGAGAAATATCGACAGCTTGCTGCGCAATGTCTTACAACGTTCTGGAAAAATGCGCCGATGGATGTGGAAAGGATTGTGAAAAACGCAGGACTGATAGGAAAGAACTCGAGGATGAAAGAAAATTCAATGAATTGGATTGTACAGGTAAACAGATGCATTTTGGCGCGGGGTTGTCTACACTTTCTAACTATCGTATCAAATAGATGCACCAAGAGCACGGAATGGCATTCAAAAGTTTTGTGACTACACTAATGGAGCTACTCGAAGATGCCGATGGCATGGTAAGAGATACTGCGAGAAACACTGTCATCACCTTATTCCAGTAAGTCTCTGTCTATCGGCCATGTTACTTTCAAATTCTAATTGCCACAGAAACGCCCCTAATGGAGCCAAATCCGATCTCAAGAAGCAGTTGAAGAACTTCAATGTTCGACCAGCGATCGTATCAGCTATCACGAGTCAACTTATACAAGGAGGAGCCCCAGTAGTTGTGGAACCGGAAAGAACTGAAGTCCCTATGCGAAATCCTTTAGCTAGCAGTGCATCTGCGATGAATGTCTCAAGACCAGCAACACCAGAAGTCAGAATTGAGCAAGTAGACCCTGCATATGTGAATACACAAAGGGAATTGGAGGAAACTTTTCAAGAAATGCATCAATGGTTTCAAGACAAGGAGTCTGAAGCAAATTGGTTCAAGAGAGAACAAAGTTGTACAAAGTTACGAAGATTGAACGCTGGAAACGCCCCAAGCGACTATCATGATGCTTTCCTTGCTGGTATCAAAAGCCTTCTGGATGGTATCTTGAAAGCTGTTAATTCATTGAGAACTAGTCTTTCAAAAGAAGGGTGTAGTGCCGTTCAAGAAATTGCTCGAACTGCTGGGCCTGGACTGGATCCTATGGTCGAAATTCTTCTACAAAACCTTATCAAACTCTGTGGTGGCACTAAAAAAATTAGTTCGCAGAACGGAAATTTGACAGTTGATATTATTATCAGCGGCGTTACCTATAATCATCGGATCATGCAGCATATCTGGCTCGCATGCCAAGACAAGAATGTTCAGCCTAGAACATATGCCACAGGCTGGCTCAAAACATTGCTCAAGAAGGAGGCGCAGCACAAGAGTCACGTTGAACATAGCGGAGGCTTGGAACTGATTGAAAAGTGTATTAAAAAAGGTCTAGCCGATGCCAATCCTGGTGTTCGCGAGAATATGAGATCGACCTATTGGACTTTTGCTCAGATATGGCCAGCAAGGGCTGAGTTGTAAGTGTATAAGCATTTCTACGCTTTCGTAATGACACTAACAAGTTTTAGAATAATCGAAGATCTAGAACCAACTCAGAGGAGACTACTAGAGAATTCTCCAGACAATCCCAATGCACCGAAGAAGGCGGCGGCAGTCAGCTCCGCAAGACCCGGCCTTGGATTCTCCAAGAGCACTACTGGACCTCCTAGACCCTCTTTGAGGGAGACTATGTTAGCGCAGAAAAAGGCACAAATGGCCACCAAGAATATTCCTACTCGTCCTGGTTCTGCGATGTCAACATTTTCTCCAACAAGGACCGTGCCAACCGCATCAGGTAAACAATCGTCTTCAGAAGTAGCTCCCACAAGACCTCATTTAGAGGCCACTGGATCTCGTGGCGGTCTTTCTGTTGCACCCATGCGACCAAGTAAATCTAAGAGACCAGAACTTGCTGCTAGACCTGCAACTGCTGGGCCATATTCTGTAAGAAGAACTAATCAAGCCTCCAGCGAAGCAAATGCCAGCCCTTCATCCTCCACATCCGCAAGACCACCAAGATCTAAAACTCCCGTTGCTACCAGCTCTCCCCAGGCTAGAAGAGCTCCAATTCCGAGACCCAATACAAGCCATTCTAGTCATCCCACGCAATCTCATCATCCAACCCATTCTACTTACACAAGTCCTGCAGCAAAAAGTACATCTGGGCGAGTCGTAACTGCTTCTCCTAGACTTGCTGCTTCCCCTCACATTAGTAGTCCTGTTAGGACAAGAACTAAATCGGTACCTGGATTACCTGGACCTGGATCTAGTCCATCAAGAGCAGATGAAGATTTTACAATGGTTGTTCCCACCATCACAGGGTTAGAACGGATCAAATCTGAGAAACTCCCCCAGGTCTTTGACCCTTCTGAGGTGGAAGATATCAAAGCTCCTGTCAATCAGCCAATGAAGGTTTATGAAGACCCATTCTCAAGCACAGATGACACCACTACCCCAGGACCTACAGTTCCTCAATCCGTTTTAGAAGAAGTGCCTGTCAACGAAGATGCTATGAATCTGTCAAGAAATGGCATTAGCGAATTTGATGGCGAAGGAGCTAAGAACCCGCCAATGTCCCCGGATAAACTCAAACAAAGCACAAAATTACTCGATAGCGGTATCTCCAAGATCAGAGCCAAATCTCTAGACGTGCATGGTTTCCGAAAACTTCAAGCCATGATCAGAGATAACAAAGCCGTATGGGGAGAAGGCAGATTCCCCGCCCTCTTGTTAGGACTTTTGAATATCTTGAAGAACCATTAACAAATCTCTCGCCTGCAAAAGTTCAGGATGTCAAGGCACAAATACTAGCTACAGTTAAACTCATGTACAAGAATTACCGAGAGCATTTCAGACCACATATCGCGAAAGGCTTCCATTCTATTCTTGTAACTAGATCCTGCTACGATGCACGCGCCCACATTGTCAGTGGCCTCGAACTTCTCGCCGACGAGCTTGTTACACTTGCCAATCCCAAAGAGACCATCACGACCATTCTCAACTCCCTCGCCAACGAAGAAATGACATTGGAAGGATGCCGAAAATTTAGTATGGGATTACATATACTCAAGCAGACTTTGGATATCAAATCAGATGTTGAGTTGGAAGATGCGGAAATTGATAGCATCTTGGAATTGGCGGCAAAGTGTCTTGAGAGCAAAGAGAGCGGAGTAAGACTGGATGCTGTGGTACTCTGTGTGAGTACGCATGCAAGAATTGGAGAGGCAAGATTCTGGAGTGGAATTGGTGGAAGAGTGAGTGGCGATCCAAAGAGCTTGATTACGTACTATATTGTCAAGAGGCAGAGGGAGTTGGAGGTAGGAAACTGACAGTTTGGAGGGTGACATGGAACGAAGGTCAGTGGCATAAGCTAATGTTTCGTCTGGGCGAAAGGAGGAAATGATGAGTAAGATCGTTGTACAATACGAAAGCCTTCTGTTTTGACCGGATATTTTTGGGATATTTTCTGGGTGGTAGGATGGATTCTATGGTGTGCAGCGAGGGAAAATGGAAGGGCGATACAAGGCGTTGTGCAGTGCACATTACATGTCAACTTTCTGGTTATTGGCAGAGGGGTATGAGTTTGAGTCGGAGTCATGGTCATAGTACATCTATATGTTATAATCTTGTCATTTGTGTGCGCTTCTATTGCTAGCTTTATTTGTGCGTTTTGAGTGATGATCATGATTGATCTAGTAAAGTTTTCTTCGATTGCTCATTCTGGCCTCGGTGCCACATACTTACTTGGTGCATCGCTGCTTGAATATAGGTACTCGGTATAGAGGGATTCTGTAAAGTATTGACTTCAGATTCACCATTGACTGATTGCAGTTTACTTGCACATTACGAGTATAGAATTTGCAACCCCGGGTTCGCTAGACTGTACTCTTTGATCTTTCAATTTTCACTTTCCAAGAGCGCTGTAATGGTCAAGTATGAGACAGGCTAGTGGAAGGTGTGTTGAGGGGCTGAAATACGGCCGGGACTGGTTTTGTATCGCGAGAGTTGAGATGTCGGGGTTCTTTTGATGGGAGAAGATTTGGGTCTCGAGTTCATGAGGTTAGTTAGTTGGTTGGTTGGTTGGTTGGTTGAGGGCCGGTTGATAATGTAGATGTAGATGTGGATATAGGGATGATAAGGGAGTGATATGATATGATATGACATATAGGGAGTAGACAATGAAATGTGAGATCGAATTAATTCAAATAACTCAATCTTTCCATCGATGTAAATTTGAGCGGAGTGATCATCCATCCATTCATCCATCCATACATTCATTCATATACCCATCCATTCAAAACTGCACACTCAAAGATATAATACGGAAATCATATAACATCAACGCATAATCATTCCCTAACTTAACTAACCTACATGCACACATATATATATACAAACATACATAACTAACTAACCAACACCCACAACATACCACGCATAATAACCATTAAAACCATTAAAACCACCACACCTCAGCTCACCACATCGCAGCACATCGCAGAAAAATCATCAACCCATAAATAAATCACGCATTCGATCTAGTATCCTCCCTCCTGCGTAAGCCACGACAAACTCTCAATCTCACAATCTATCCTCAAGCCAATGCCAGAACTTTCCCTCCCTGAAGCGTATTGTCATGTGGAATGCATAATACCTGGTAATCATATTCCCCCTTCTCGTACCCCCTACCCTACCCTCAATATGCATTCTTCAGACACATGGTCCAAGACGTGAAAGCCTATGAATTAGCTCGATTTGAAGAAGAGAAAAGAGAGCTAGCAAGCAAGTACGTAGATTTCTAGCCATTCAAATATCAAATCAAATAAACCATCAATCAAAAAACACAATAGCAAGTAAGGCACTTAAAAAACGCCATAAAAATGTAAATTTCTCTCTCAATCATCTCTGTAACCGATCAAAAAATCGGTCTATCATTCATTCGCTTTCCAGAACTAACGCCCCACCCACCACCTTGCTAAACATGAGTGCAAAAAAGAATATACATCTCGACGCTTTCTGCGTATCCGACGCTGAAAGCGAAATATAAGATAAAAAAAGCTAAAGGTTCCAATCATTCAGAAGTGTAAGGTCATAGAAGATTCATGGTAAGGCTATAGGCTTTCCTAAGCGCCGGCAAATATGTCGTAACTGTTCTCAATGACGAACTGAACAGCTTGGTTCTTGGCGTGCATATCCGTCATCTCACGGTCTATGCTGTGATCACGCATGATGGTCGGTGCAAAAACCACTGCCAGATTCTTAGGTGTCATCTGTGACGAATAATTAGTATGTCAAAAGACCAATGTATGCAAATGAACATACCAAATTCTCGCTTTCTCGTTTTGCCACACGCACAAGATGGAAAATCAAAAACTCAAGACAATCACGATGCTTGGGAGGTAGCATGTTGACTGTGTTCCGTAGATGTGTGCAGCGTTCTGCATTGTCTTCGATAGCTATAATTGTATTAGCAAGTAATTTCTATCAGAATGCGAGATCGAACTTACAGATTGATTCTAACACTCGATCATAAACATCGAAGGTCAAAAGTGGTACAGGAAGCTTTCGGAAATATTGTTTCAAAACACTTGTAACCGCAGTAATATCGAGGTCGGGATCCGAGATGTCATAGTCTTCAGTCTTATCAAATCCTTCTTTGATAATGTTGACTTGCCCAGTACCTCCAGTCTTCCGATAGATGCCCTCAATGTCCATTCCACGCAATTCAACTTCTTCAATGCAGCGAGTAACCACACTTGGAATTTGCCGACGCTCATAATCAGCTCTTTCAACAAGATCAGAACCGAACAGGGTTGACGGACTCTCAGCGGCGAGAATGTTACCACTGGACATAGACTTTGGCATTGACTGTGATTTCTTGAATAAACCAAACCCTTGGCGAGAGGGATCGTTTGATGTAGACCTGGGTAAGTTTGCCCCAGAGGCATTTGGCGCCGGAGATTGCACGTGCTCCATAGTCATGTTGTAAGGCATGCCGATGTTATCACCAGTCTGACCTGGCCATTGGTTTAATGGCCGTTCTTGTCCGCTGGAGAAAGCACCCTTGAAACCCTTAGTGACTCCTTTGGCAACAGTTTGGCCACCCTTCTTCCAGTTAAACTTCTTTGCTTGTCCCTTGCGGATATTGACGACATGGGGAGCTGATAACAACGTCGCTGGCTCCATGCTGGGGTCCTGTTCCATTGGGTGTGGATAGCTATTGATCGAATTGTTGTAGGTAATACTACTGCTTTCCGATGGGCGGAGGATTGCATTATCTAGATGAACGGAAACGTTAGACTTATCCTTATTATGGTGAGTGTAGATTCCCAGACCGTTTGTTGATGGCCTTGGACTTTCCATATTGGTATTGGCCGATTTGAAGCGTTCCTGGATTTGGTGGGTAAGATCATTATTCATGTCTGCAAGTTGTGCATTTTTAGATGATAATTGCTCAAACTCAACTAAGGCTCTATCACGATCGGCAATAGCTTGGTTCTTTTCTTCCAATAATTCATCTCGCTCCTCAAAGAGTTGTTCAATTGCGCCAGACATCGACTGCTTAAGGCGATCAAGCTTCTGAACAAATTCTTTGATGGCAGAATCTTCCAGCTCAGCAATGTCAAGTGGTTGTTTCGAACCTTTGGCACGTTCCACATAGCCAGCTAGAACTTCTAATTGGCGGATCATGAGTTCCGTTTGAGAATCTAGAACCGAGACAGTCTTTCGCTTTTCGATGAGTTTTTTGTTCAGTGTTTTCAGATCTTTCTCGTTTACGAACTGTCTCTCAAGTTCTGCAACTCTTTGTTCGGAGTTGCGAAGTTGCCTTCTCAGCAAAGCCGGATCATCTCCAGGATTTGGCGAGCTTATAGAAATCGGACTACTGATATCTCTAGGTCCGCTAGTGTCTTCTATAATTGGTGTTTTTGGCCATCGTGGTGAGTTAGGAGTACGTGCGGTTGTTTCGCTGACGCTACGACCATGGCCACGGGCAGAAGTGCTTGCTTCACTACTGGTATTTCGAACGTGACGTACAGCGTTGGAAACTCTGCGAATTATAGATTGTGAGCCTTCATCGTTGCCAAATATCCTAGCCATATCTTCATCCATGGTAAGATCACCGCCAGCACTCCACCTTGGTAGATTGGGCGATGAAGCGGTACCATTCGAGCCTGCAGATGGCGGCGCTGGGGGTGCTCTTGGGGTCATGTACGTATCACTGAGTTGTTGTTTTGGTATAGGAGGGCGAGTAGACGAGCGATTTGGAGGTACCATATCATCTATAGGCGATTGTAACAAGGGACCAGAGATTGATTTGCCATTCACTGTCGGAGTATGAGCTGTTCCTTCTGAAGAGGATTCCGTGGATGGGGAGGTTTCTGTCCCGGAAGATAAGCTCATTGTGCTAACGTGACTTTTCACTGGTCCTGAGGCTATCTCCTTACGGGTATGGAGACTTTGGAACTTCCAGAATTGACTCTTGAAATAGTAGAATTTTCCATGTCCTTTGGTCGTGATTCCAGTGAGGATCTGGACGTGATCTGGTCTGCTGCCATTAGAGTCCTTGGGGAGTCCATTTTTGGCATGTTGCTGTCTTTCCTGGGAGGTATGTTGGAGAAGGCAGATTTCGAGGAGTTGCTCTCGCTGCCAGTATAATCCGATTGTGAGTCGCTTCTCGTTGCTCCAGCCCGCTTTCCCTTTGGAACATCGCCTAACCTAAACTTTTCACTAGATCCTTGTGTCTTTCCATCAGGGGCGTCAGCGGTTGGCGAGCTTGCATGTTGTAATAAAGTATCATCACTCGTAGATGCAGATGATTCTTTGGCAGGTGTGCCTGTGCCGTTTGCTGCTCTGCGTATGCTGTCCTTGATCTGTGCCAACTGTTCATCGGATGGTTGATTTTTATCTTGGAATGCGATGTGCGGTGTTGACGTTGAGCTCGCGTCCCTCAAATCCCTTGATCGTCTCTGTGACTGTGGTTCAGTTTGACTTCGCATATTGTCTTTCGCGCCAAAGTAATCTCGATCTGGTGCTTGGTTCTCTTTCGCCTTCTTTGTGTCCCATGATGTCGAAGTAGATCTTGGTGTCAAGGTTGGCGCAGGGCTTGGATCCAGGGCGAGAGGGATGAAAAAGCTCTCCCCATCCCCATTTCCAATCTCAGACATTTGCGATATCCCTGAATATCTATTGTTTCGATACGTCGTCGTTGGAAGCGTCAATCCATCTCGGCCTGTAGTATCGGTGGAGGCTCGATGAGAGGAAGTATCATCGCGAGGTTTTCGAGAACTACTCCTAGATGAGGAATCTGTACGAGAATATGTTGGCCGCGGCCTTGGTGATAATTCTGTAGGGTTATCTGCATTGTGAGGATCCGGGATCTCACGTTCAGGGGAGAAGGCGCTTTGTGGAACGGCGTTCGGTGGTAGGGCGGGTAGTGATTTATCGACAAGCATAGGAGATTGATCGTCTTTTTTCTTCGCATTTGCAGCGGCCCTCGACTTTTTACGCCGCCTGGCCATTAGTGATTCATGACAGCTCATACAAAAGATTCCTTGAGATGTGCGAGCATAACGAAGGTTTTCGATCTTACGTTTGCAGTTCCTGCATCGAAAGCATGTTGCACAAAATGCTTGGTCACCGGTGAGGATGGCGAGGTCTTCAATTTTGTTATTGCAAGCACTGCAGCTGTAAGTGCAATTATTGCAGATAAGAGATCCGTCACCCAGGAGTAACAAATTCGCATCGGAATCCAGGAGAGTTCCGCAAGTATTGCATCGGAAGCAATTTAAATGCCATCGATTGCCAGCTACAGGATCGTTAGAATTGTTAAATTTCGAGGTCGGAGGGTTCATTTGATTGATTTCTCGGATATTCAATGTACAACTCGAGGCTCGAATCGAATAAAGCAACGTAACGCATAGTAAAGCAATTGAAGAAGATCGTGGGATAGTTCACAACTTACCAAGTTCGAAGGCTTTTCCCTCCTCGAGGATCTGTGCAAAAAATTCACTTTTAGTGGCAGATTCGTAAACACATTATGGGTGCATGGGACGGGAACACTCACATCACCACATCCTTTACACGGATATGCCACATCGTCACCCTCCATAGGGGATTCCAGATATGTACTATTGTCTGGCGATTCCATCTTGCCAAATATATGTGAGGAGCGACCCTCGAAAGAAACCCTTTTAATATCCTTCTATTTCAGCAGATACACTTCCTCCTCAAGTATCACGGACGGTGGACCCAGGCTGAACATGAATTGACAGATGCGATCCCTCGACGTTAGGTTTGTCGGTTTCTAGAGTGTAAAAGCGCACGGTCTGTAGGAGATTCGAGAATTGTTTACGGAGGTATGCAAGTTCGCAAGGGGAAAAGAAGCTAGTGCGAATAGACGATCATCAAAGAAACGTTCCTGGAGCTTGATTCGCGAAGTTCGAGGGTCAATTGGGTTGGGTGGAGAAAATGAGTTGAAGGGTTGTTGTATATGGGAGCGAACAGACAGGTGAGGTGAGAGAATAATTAGTAATACCTGATAGTGACGGGAAAAGATTGAGGGATGGATGAACTATGAGTTGCTGGAGAGCGATATGAGATATATGTTGGACGAATTCATCCAACATCAAATCAATCCACCCTTTGAAGATACTACTGATATTGATTGATTGTAGTTGCGACTGGATGCGATTTTTTGCGATTTGAGACTTCTTGTTCAGCCTGCTGTTAAATGTATTATCGATAAGTAGGTCAGTACCTGTACCTGTACCAATATAAACGTAATCTTAGTCCTTAGTACAGTAAGTATAGAGATACTAAGTAAAGACGAAGACGAAGACGAAGGGCTAGACTGATAAAAGAAGGTTTATGCCAAACGGTGTATCTTTCTTGCTTCACCGTGGTCGCCGTGTGAGTTTGGTTGGTACATTCGTACACTTATCAATGAGGAAGTAGTCTAGAAATTCCCTTGGGCTCAGATCAGATGAGACAAAAGTGGTTAAGTAGGCTCGAGGGAGGTGAGATTTTAGGAAATCGAGTAGAAGGAAAGGCTAATGATCCTTTAGCGACCAGCATATATTCCAAAGGGGGTCGGTCGATGGTGGGCAGAGTATCTACTGGTGGCAGTTCTGTGCAGCACGTTGTTGGAATTGGAATTGGAAGTCGTGAGATGAGACAACTCCCACGGTCTAAGCCTTTAGATCCCAAGATAGTGAATCAATTGATCATTTGGGCCGAATTGAGTACCAATTTGGTGCGGTACAGAGTAGAATATAGTACGATGTGAAGATTAGCTTTTCTGCAGAAGTATCTTTCTTTTTTGAGGCGTAGATGTGAGATTGTTCCTTCGACTACTCAGTGAATTACCCCAAAAACGCCTCCCCTTACCGCCGGTTTATTCTTCAATTTGTTGCAAGTTATTTTTCTCTCGGAAATCAATCTACTGTTGTTCATCATGTTGTAGTTCAACAATACCGTGAACCGTTTATATGGGCAGCTACAAGAAGGATGACCGTTTGAGATACCAAACACTCAGAATTTAATTACCGCTGCAGATTTGATCTGCAGGTATGAATGGGGATTATGTATCAGTTTCTACTCGTTCCTCGGTAGGGATATTCATATTCTCCTTCATGGCGTATGGTACAGGAGAAATGGTCACAGTAAGGAATATCGATGTTCTTCTGTCTGCACATTGTGGTTTCATATATTGACCCCAAGGACCGGGAAGATTGAATGTCGTCTGTACTCCTCACATTCCGTCAAATATATATACATATATATATCTACAGCTGGTTTCTAGACACAATGAGGACCTCCCATTGTTCTCCAATACCGAAAAGATGTAATGAATCTTCGGAACCCAGTCAATACATACAGATGACCCGACATTTCAATGTTCCAACAGAGTTTGATCCGAGACCAGGAATAACCATGGGTCGATGGAACCAAGAGAGTGTTTAGCCTACGAGAGGCGATTATTCTTGCATGGTGGCACTTTTAAGGGTTTCAAATATAGACCCTCAACCAAGGAGATGTCGCGATGAACATAAGGACGGGACACATCTTATTCGCTGATCGAAAGATGGCATATAGAGAAGATGAACGTGGCGATATGAACTTCCACCACGCATCCTTTCATCTCGTGTTATTTATGCTGTAACCCATGGATTCTTCCAGTAAGAGATAATTTCCCCATGACGAAAAGTGTGCTGTATTTAATGATCCCAAACAGATGGTGTGTACATATAAGATGATAAGATGGAGTCCTTGTGTTCGAATGAAGATGTTGATATTGCACTCGTGAAATTACAGATATACATACTAGGTAGTTGCTCATTCGCCACCAATTCCCAAGCATCTTGAATAACATCGTGTTCTTCGTATTACAAGATTATCGTCACACAGTACCGCTGCCACTCAAAAGCCAGGATAAGAGTACCCTTTGCACATGATACTCCTTGTTACGTACAGTCTATACTCCGCGAAACTTCTTTTTGGAGACTCCCATAAGTAAATCTTAAACTTCTCACTATTGGAAAGGCTGGTCCGTCAAGAAGGATGCCAAAGGTCTAGCTAGTAGTCAAGAACCAGACTAAGGTATGTACCTCGAAAATCCTCCTGTCGGTCGCCGGGAGCAATGTTGATGATTTACCGCTTCTTCGATTACTAGATACACCACATCTCAAATAACGCTTGATTCTATTCAAACACGCGGCTACCCACAGGTCCAGTTTGACAATTTCCCCTTGATTTTGAATCTTTATTTCGAACTCCTTGGACGAGGCTGAGTACATAATTTACGTAGCTGCTAGGTTGAAAATAGTTCATCGGAAGAATTAACCCTAAATTGCTCTTACGTCGACTTTCCTATCCTAAATTATATAATTTATGCTCCATACCATTGTTCTGATCCGCTAGGAACCAAATTATCAGCTGAGAAAGATAATTCGATCGTCAATGCCTAATTCGGTAATTCCGCCTATCTGTCCTGTCCTAAAACACTACATCGATGTTTCAGCGTCAATTTGATGATCCTCCTTAAAGAAACGCCTGGATTTGTTTCGACCGCGTTTTCCAACAAGAAATTCTTACCCATGGCCTGTTGATCACCCCAATCACAAAGGGAGTTGCAGAAAATATGGGATCTAGGGATGATATACCATATCCTTTTCTTCTGAGTCCAGAGTTGACCCTGTCTGATTGAATTTCAAAGGGAGATTATTTGTGGAGAGCAAATCACAAGAATAGAAGTCCGTTCTAGACCCTTCATTCAGATCATTGTCCCTGTCGCTTACCAAAAGTTTCATGCCGGTCACCAGTGCCGCGGCCTTCTCGTTGGTGGGAGAGCAGGGGAGTTGAAATGGTCACGTGAATAAATTTGACGTCGTTCTTGTCGAATCTAGAGCTGTGCCACACCGAGAGGGGGGAGAAGCTGTCATGAGCTTGAATATTATCCGTGATTCATGTCAAGCACAACGTACTATACAACACCCGTCCAACGAGGATCAGGACAAGCCACCAACATATGGCTAGTAGTTCCCAACTTCCGCCTCAATGACACTCACCAACTTTTTCCAACCAACTGACAACCATCTGCATGAATCAACTCCAAGCTCAGCCCCTAATTTTATCGGGCCTGAAACTAACACCTACTCAGCATCTACCAACCCACTTTCCGGGTGACACCTATCATCCTACATTGAACCAACGCCCAGCGTAACACAAACTAAGGTTAAGCATAAACATCAAACAGTCGTCTAATCGCATTACATATCACATAATATGCATAAAAAGCCGTAAATTCCGACGCGCATATTCATCCATCACTCATCTTTCACTCGCACGTCGCCATTCCTTCGGCGCCTCTTCAGCCCTGCCTGAACCATGCCTTGTTTCGTATTCAGAGCACTCGGTTGGAATTGATGTATTCCACGGCGGTATATTTAACTTTGGCGTGTGTGTAGACGTTCATTTCATGTTTCAGTGAACAAACTATCAATCTGAATATGCCTGTGATGGTATGATCAATGATGTGATAGCCAAGTAGCTGTCTGATTAGCTGGAGGTTTCAGTGACATATTCAATAATAGTTTCTTGGTAAACAGACAAGTGGAATTGTATATCATTTCTGTGTGACTAGGACTGCTGCTTATATGTTGGTAGGTTTTGCTTGCTTGAGGTAGATGAATTGTTCCCGTGTTCATGGAGGAATGATAATAATTATTGTTGAATTTATGGATTTACCTAGAATCTTGTTTGTCCGTCTGAACCTGGAATGCTATCGGGATTACTTATCGTTGCAGAAAGGTAAGTGCCTTTGAATTTAGTAGGTGCGGACTTTGCACATTAGGTTCCTGTGAATTTGTCTGATGGGGCCAGGATTACACCTGTTTTCCATATGAGTCAGTCTACCTATATAGCAAATAGCATCACAAGTTGGGGATTTGTTCGTTTGGTCCTTCTGCACCGGACTCTGCTATTTGTTCTGGTTCGTAGCGCCAGTGACATAATTCGGGAGATGGCCTGCCTTGTGTTTGTTTGTAGCCGAGAAGTTTTCGTCCTGATGAACCATCTCATAATTCATTCGGTGCGAATGATGATCTTACTGGCAGTACTATTAAAGACCTCTCCTTTCTTGTCGTACCTCCTACATCAAGTTTCTTGTCAGATTCTACCTCATTTAGATCATGGGAAAGGGCACATGATATCGCTCAAGCTCCCGGAACTCCTGAGGAGCTATCTCCCTCTCAACTTTTTGATATTCTGAATTGATATTGTTTGTCCCTGATGACGGATAAAAGGGATCCGACTTTAAGAAAACTTGAAGAATATAAGCAGGAACAAAAACTGAATGAGAGCGCTTGGAATGCGCTGGTGTTAACGAGACCTTGTCCAGTCTCTCGCTTAATATAATTGAGAACAAAACTTTAATGCTAGCTTCTCACTTGTAGATCTTGCAGACTACCGCTTAGTTCTAAATCCTAAATTAAATCTCTTGAAGGCAGGTCTTGACTCATTCGATTTCACTTCATTCATACTTCGTTTTACACTTCATTTCACACTTTTTATTATTATCATCGTCGTCTCCAGAACAGCCAGTCAACTACAAATCTATCGGAATGGCTTATAGTCTTTGAACTCTGGGTTTAAGCTCTGGATTCTGAGGATCTCGTCCAACTTCTCCATGGTTTTCTTCTTGTACTTCGCTGCCATCTCCGCTGCCTCCTTGCGCCACGCCTCATATTCAATTGCATTCTTCTGACAATAGTTCGTTATTTCGACACATTTCAAAATCATCTTTTCTAGACTCGCTATTGAAGCTCTGGCTAGCTGAATTCGATCACTCTCTAACTGTGGTTGACATAATGGTGAATCGTCTTGGATCTCAATAGGATTTTCCTTGCTGTTATTGGTGATACACATCCGCTTTGATGTTGGCGGCATGTTTAAACCCATCTCACTTTGTGTCTTGGCAACTTCACAGGATTTGGATCCAGGAGTCGTGGAGAAGCCCTGCTGCCGTTCTATGTTAGCAAGAAGTTCTGCTGATCAAGTCTCAAAATGGCAAAAGGAACAATGGTTACTGGATCAAATACGCCGTTGGTTCCCATGGAATATGCTTGTGCTTGTGGTTTCCGAGCAACAGCAGCAGCAGGAGCATTAGCAGCATTGGTACTCTCTCCTGCCAGACCGCTGTTGTACTGCCCGTAGTTCCGCTTGCCATTGATCGTGAATTGGCTGTTCTTTATCTTGCTCAAAGTATCCCACTCCTGCTTTGAAGCTAACGGTTTAGAATGATTCGAGTAAAACGATGATTCATAACTCACTGGCACTCTGGGAAGGGACTGTACTTCGTCTACGAACTGGCTCGCTTGCAACGGCGGCAGATTTCTCATCATTTTCTCTTGCTTCCATGGCACGAATCGACTCGGGCATATTGGCAACAAGATCGCAAACCTTGCTGTAATCGACTTTACACTGTTTTCTTCCCCGGAAACCAGCAACTGCCACTCCTGTTCTGACGAAACCTGCCTCTGCTAGCTTCTTGACTGTATATCTATCCAGCTCCTTAAGCTCCATTTTAGATGTTTCTGGGTTGGTTTTGTGGTTGTCAATGATGTCTCGAACAATCTTTTCTTCCTCTTTTGACCACATTTTGTATACAGGGCGCTTTTTGACCTCTTGATTGACCCCCTGATTGACCTCTTGATTGACCTCTTGATTGACCTCTTGATTGACCTCTTGATTGACCTCTTGATTGACCTCTTGATTGACCTCTTGATTGACCTCCTGATTGACCCCCTGATTGAAATTTTCGTCACCAATGACATCGAGACTTGATGATCGAAGTATCGGGACATCTTCCTCTTCTGCATGTTTCTGCTCGTCTGCTTTCTCTACCTCTGCATCCTTGGTAGGAGCTGGTACCTCCTTGACAGAAATCTCATCAGGTGGCGCCATTTTACCGAAATTTAAAATCGTAGAATTGCTTTGTAATCGGAAGAATGAGGAGGATGATAGAGTAACTTCAATGTGCACAAGGCAGCAGTTGACTCGATGGTTTGATGTTATTGGGAGTGGGTGTTAATGGATGAGATGATGGCGTTCGAAAAGAGTTTGTGCTACTCAATTCTCGACACGAGGCTTGTAAGAAAAATTTAAAAATTGAACTCGATGTTTGAATGAAATGAATTTTGCGAACATGTACGCTCAGCACAGAACATGCGCAAAGCGCTTAAAGAAAAAGCGACAGAGAATTTGTACGTCAGGTGGTCAAAGGTTGTTGTTGACAAGTAGATAAAAGGAGGATTTGGTCGCGAAAGGAAAAAGTACAATATTTGACTCCTCTCGGTACCTCCCACTAGCGTGTCAAATTTTATATCAAAAGAAGCGGAATAAGTGATTCCCCGAAGTGATATCGAAGTGAATGAAAGGGCGGTGCATAAAAATGCGATTGAAAGAGGTTTAGCTTCATATGGAAAGAAGTAGATAGTCATTTCCTTCGACATTCGGACGAGGAGGGGTGACGCCTCGTAGATTGCTGCTAGGTGTGGTTGACTTGAGAATAAGATGATGGATTTTTGATCATGATATTCACTTATTCATTGAATCTATTCTAAGTAGTGACTCGTAGGATGACAAAGTTTCTAGAGAATCATGTGTCAACCGTGGGTCAATATAGACATGAATTGAAACGGTTGACCTGCTGCTCTGGAACAGTGTTTGGGGGATATTCCAAGAAACTAAACCATAAGATAATGTACCTAGTATTTTTGTGGACAATTGATTCTAGCGTAGATCTTTCATGGCTTTGAAGGTTGGGGAGTGTCTTCTACCTTATGACTGTGAACTCATTATTGCATTATTACTATAAGTGCATCTACTATTTGTCCTACATACAGCGCTTCTTCCTCAATCTGATTACAAAGAAGAAGGGCCCTCACAACTCAAAAACAGATCAATGCTAATGGCACATGAAAGTCTTCTCTTGTCTTCTCTACAAGCTTCCGATTTGATTGAGTCTCATCCTCAATCGAGCTTCGACCTTGAGTTCCTCGTCGACCTTTTTCTGTGTTCCCTCCGCCGCTTCTCGCTCCATATCCGCCTTGGTCTGATGTCTAATTGTTTCTAACTCCAGTTGCTTTCGTCTATCGATCGATGCTACAATTCTTTCCTCGATTCTGCGACGCTGAACAAGCACCATTTCTTGCATTTTTTTGAATCCAGCCTCGTCGTCTGAACTCGCTGTATCTTCCATAGTGCTTGTGGGGCGCATAGGTGAACTATTGATTTCGATAGGGGCATTCGATCCAATAAACTCTGTTGATACCATCTGGGAGGAACTCGAGAGTCTGCGCTTCTTTGTATCCCTCAAAACATCATCGGCTTGAGCAACAATCGAATCGTTGCTACCAGCAAGTTCCGCTTCTAGCTTTACAGACTGCTTCCGCTTGGAATTCTCCTGGTCTGATGCTTTTTTTGCCATTTCCTTCTTTCGAGTGGATCTCTTATTTGCGAAATAGGTCTACAAAATTTATTAGAAACTACATCTTTTGGAGTTGTGAACAGAATTTAATCATACAGAAATTTGGAAAATACTGATGCCATGATCTTTCGCAAGTTTCTGCTGTTGTTCCTTGGATGGATTGAGTGATTCTGTGGCTAATCGACTTAGTGCACTTGTTTGACTTTTAGAGAGGACACCTCTTGAATTCTTGGTCTCCCCTAATGCTCTATCATTGATGCTGGAAGAGGGCTCAGCACACTTTGCATCGCGAGCATCAAGTATCTAGAGAAATGTTAGAGATGTTGGTAAAAGTCACAGTTCGGAACTAACCGTAGAATCGCCAACATTTCGCTCGTCATAATTCCACAACTCGCGACCAGTGACACGCCAATACTCAGAACAAGCCGGGGGGGTTCTGAAATAACCTTGTACTTTGAGTAAGTCAGATGCGTGATTGAAAAGCTGAGTTGCAGAAAACTTTGGTAACTTTAATCGGATGTTCAATTCATGACGGGTTTTGATTTCCTCATAAAGAATTCTTGATTCATCTTCGGTCCATGTCTTGTTACCCCTCTTTCGATGTCCATTGGCCGTGTTGTTAGACTCTCCATCAGCTTTATTCTCATCTGCAGTAGAATGTTCGGCATCGAAGTCAGCATCTAGATCTTGGTCATCCTGCCATGCATTGGCGGCCTGCAGCATCGACTTTTTGTTGCAGATTCGACGCCATTTTTGCTCACATGCAACACCAGTTCTTTGTATGTCAAATCCTAGTCCATTGAGTTCGATGGATACCTCTTCGAATAGACTGCCCTTGGGAACTTCACCGTCTTCAACCCTTTTCTTGTGTTTTTTGATGAGCCGAGTTAAACAGTCTTCTTCCGGCAAGCTCCAAATCCAACGCGCAGCTGTTTCTGTCAACGATTGCTCTGAACCGGCTTCCATCTTTATCGGTGGGCTGCAAGGTTGAGAAGTCAGTATCTACCTTCAGAAACAAATTGATACCGTTGAATGTAAGACAAGCAAGGTGATAATACTTACAATGGTTTTACGATACAACGTGAACGGACTCCTTCTTGCTGGCGAAGACCGCAAGCTGTCGAGCTTTTACGAAAAAAGAGGTGGGAGATAATTCAGGTCAAAGTTGGAACGCAACTTTCCAAGCTAGCGATAATAAAATACTATCGGCAAAGCTGAAATTGCATGGTACGTTTTTGAAAGGTGAGATAAACAAAGCAAAGTGGACCAAAAAGATCGATGTAAGTTTGCCCTCAAGTTCAACTCAGAATTTGAAATGGTAGAGCACTTGCTCTCATTTTCAGATAACAATGCCCCGATCTCGGCTCGTTTGGGTGTGAAGTAATCCTTCAATCGGTGCTAGTGTATTTGGAGATTTCGAATTAGCCAAGTAGCTAAGTTGCCGGCAAATCAATTTTCATTGTCTTCGTCATGTTGTGATCTCTCACATACCCAGGAAATTGCCACAGACTCTCCTGGTATCAAACTGTGAAACTGAGCCTGCTTGAACATATCTGGTCAATATCTAGCTCTCTTTGTGATTTCTGACGTGGTTCACGTGGTTCTGGAATGGCTGTCAAAGTGCCATGGATTGCCAATCCTGCTTTTCATTGCCGAATGAGTTCAGGGGAAAATGCTGTCAGTATCTTGTGGAGTTTATCTACTATTCACCAACATCTTGTGCTTACCCCACATCTTTGGGCTAGATTGGTATCTAAGTGCTTCGCTATTGAATTGAAATCTTCGCAGTAAGTATACGTAGTAACACTGGCTCTTTTTCTTCTTCTCCCAAGGATACCAAGTGCTTGAACCTCCGCCCTTTGACCCATCATCATGACAAAAAACTCGGTCTCCAAGCTTTCCTTCGCAGAGAGGTCATGAAAGCTAAGCTTCAGGTCTCCACAGAAAATGAACCCCAAGACTTACAAAGGAAGCTTCTATGCTATCAGCTCAGCCGAAAGTTTACAAAGAGCCAGAAAGAAATACCTTTCGGAACATATTTGGTGAAAACGAAGAAGACTATGAAACCCCACTGGAAAGATTGAGAAATTCAAACACACCATTTGCAGTTAAATATGAGACGAAACCAAAGTCTGAGCTAAGGATTCGAATCGAGGAACTTAGAAAGCAACTTCTCGCTGTCATTGATACTTCCTTTAAGAATCCGCGTGAAAGAGCTATCAGTGCTAAAGAGCGCGATCGTTTGCTACGATCCATCGAGCGCTTAGAGGCTCAAGAGAAAAGAGAGAAAGACAATGCACTACGAGGTATGTGTTTTGCCTGATATCCCAATATTTTTCAATACTGATAAATCGGACAGCTACTGGAAACCTCCCCGAGCCCATCTCCGAATTTGAAAAAAGACAACAACGAAAAGAATCAGAATTAGTAAAGAATGCCCTAGCGGGGAAAGAAGTAAGACCCTTGCCATCTGCTCCTTGTTCCTGTCGTTCATCCACATGTACTGACCAGTCCTTACTCCAGAAAGCCAAATTCCTAATCAAACGTCCCTTTCGTCCACTCGACGACGATCCAGATGGCGAAACTCGAAAAATGTTAGGACTGCCATTGAGAAGACGCAAGCTCAAGAAAACGGGCAAATGGGCAGGTGAGCTTTGCTATGTAGTTCCGGAGTTGAGGTACAAGGATTATGGAGTTGAAACTTTGAAGGAAATTTTGTTGTGCGGGGCGGATGAGGAGCAAGAAGGATGGTTGGGAAAGTGGTTTAGTAGATTGGATATGAATAATACTACAGGTGGTCCAGTGAGAGGTTCTGCAAAGAAGAGAAGTATGTGAGGAGATGAGAATGGCTCAGTCCTTTTGTAAGGGTTAGCACAATTTAGAATATCTATCTTGGCGGTACTTCAGATGTTGCCGCGTTGGATTTTGCGGGTATATGATACTATCTTGGTTACGAATTTGAAGTGTAAGCTTCTACTCCATGAAATTATGCAGAATGATTCTCATATGATACGTGAGCCATCAAATTTTCCAAGTGATGCTCATTCATTCACCATCCAGTTTCACGCTCCAGTCTCCGATATACCGATCAGATGACATTTCACTAGTCAGATCAAATGGAAGCGGATGTATTATATCAGTTATAACTGAGGCTAGAAGAATGGTAAGTGTCTCTGGTTCTGCAGCTAATAACGATATCTCAACATCACTTGACTCTCCCTAAACTAGAATTCTAATAACAAAGAAACAATCACCAAAATCTAAGCGTCGAGAAGTTTTCTCAACAGTGCAGGAGACCTCTACATCACGACAGTTGAAGAGTCTAATCGAAGTCACCGAAATTGAACAAAGAAGTCTACAAGCAGAAATTTACGATCACTTAGCAAAGTCTCGAGAAGAGAAGCTAGTTGCACAATCACAGAGAAGAGTTTTTGGAGAGAAGAAACAAATCATCTACAATCTCAAAGAAGCCTTGAAGCTATCACATAGAATTCGTTCATGCTGGAATGTGGGCTACTAATAAATCTTTAGGAAAGCAGGCAGATGAATTGACTCGCCTATTCTTCATCGCTCTTATACATTTGGGGTTCTATATGTGTGAAAGATTGGACCAAATGAATGCACTAGGAGAGGGTATATAAACAATATTCTGGTCGATAGTAGAGATGTTGAGAATTAATCTTCGTGGCTTCTGATGGCAATGAACCTATGCATTCAGATGAAAGCATGATTATTTTGATGAATACCTAATATATACTATGAAATTTTAGTCTTACATAAAAGAATAGAAGGATACCCTGTCTACGTAGGACAAGATCGCGTGTGCATGTGACTTTTTAGTTTAGACCTATGAATACGCGCCTCGATACGTTGAAAATAGACTTTACGCGATAGCTCTGTTGCGGCACAGTACGTTTGCTTAAGCGCCTTCCCGTTTTTCCGTGCATTACCTTCAAATAATTTCAGAAATCACAGAACTTCAACATTCATTCGATCTATTAACTGATAGTTCTTTGCTACCACGACTATCTTTCAATCTCCTAGTTTTGTTTAGATCATTTGCTAATACCAGAAGATCCTGCGATGGTCAAAGCTAAAAAATGGCAATCTGAAGAGGTTGCTATGTTGAAGGAAATTTGTAGCCGCCAGGAACATGTTCATAAAGGTGGACAACATAATCCATTCTGGGAGAAGGTCGCCGATGAATTGATACTATATGGATTCGATCGTCAAGCACATGCCATTTATTTTAAATGGATGCGTTTGAATCAACCACCTAAACCGAAATCGTCGAAGAAAGGTCCACCCAGTCCTTGGGACTGCAGTGATACGGAGGATGAAGAAAGAGGCGAAGAGGAAATTGAAGACTATGAGGGAGAGGCCGATACTAAAAGTGATATTTTGCTCCAAATTGGGTCCAGAGACGATACTTCTAAACCTTGGGCGACAGGAAGCAACTGGTCGGATGAAGAGAGTGATATTGCATACCAATGCATCAAAAGTCAACGAGATAAAGAGAAAGAACTCAAACTTGAACCCATCACGGCGGATCAAATTTGGCATATTGTGGCAAAGGCTTTAGAACAACATCAGATCTACCGAAAATTCCAAACATTTACCTCTACTGGAAGAACAAGGGGAGAGAAAATACAACTATGATGAAAGAACTCCAGGTACGATTGAGAAGTCCTTGCGTGGAATAGTTCGAGTGCGCGGAGGGAAGTCTGCACTAAATTCTCCGGGGCACGCAGCGTGTCATGCTGCCCCTTGGCATTCGATTCCTGAATCCTCAACCGAAGAATATTTCCAGGTATTTATTTTTTAAGCTTTTGCATACAATAGTCCTAAGGTTATTAACGATGTTGGAATAGCAGAATAATTCGAAGGCTGAGACGGATCTGGGAGATGTACAAGCCCAGGTTTCATCTCAGCAGCATGATCTGCTGACGATTGAGTATGCAAAATACAATCACCTAGACAATCCCGTGGTGAACAAGTTGATAGAGGATACTGGTTTGAGCAGAGAGCAGATCAAGGTACGAGCGCATTGATTAGGTCACTACTCGAGTTCATCGTCACTAATGAAGAAATCTCAGTTGTGGTATAGAAATCAGAGAGCTATAGATGCGAAAGAAGCAGACCTTCAGAAGGAAGTTAAGTCACGGACCGAAAAAGAACTATCTGCTCCCATTCTTGATGAGCCGGAGATTCAAAGCATGGGATTGAAGCGTTATCGCGTGTCAGACATTGGCTATCATCGTCAAGAAGAAGAAGAACCAGCCAAAAGAGTTCGTCATAGCCTGGGCCCGGAGATTTTGATGAAAAATCATGGTGGAGTTCTAGTTGACTCAAAATCTCAGGCAAGCTCAGATGTTTTTCTTCTTTTATTCATCCAATCACTGCTTTTTTGAGAATCCTTCTAACACAGAATCTTCAGGACAAACCCGAGACCTTTGGTTGTCGCTCAATTATACCAGAATCGAATGAATCTTCAGCAAATGATGTTGCAATTTCAAGTATCGGAGTCCAACAATCTTTCCTCAAACCTGCAACACAAAGAAACATTCCGGAGAGTACATCTGATGTGATCACCGTTATGAAAGCAAATCGAGAATTGGAACAACAAAAAGTACACGCAGCTGAGGAGGAATACAAACAATTGGAACTCGCTATAATCGCTCACAATAAAAGAGCAGATCTGGAGCTTAAGGCTGCAAATGCAAAAGAACGGGAGCTTACAGTCCAACGAGAGATTCGCGAGAAAGCCACGAAGCGTATTGCGATGATTGAAAGCTTCCTCGACGACTACTAAGTGTATTATGCTGTGGCGAGGGCATTGTAATTTCTTTGAGTTGGAAAAAGTTTAATGTCGATGTCTTTATTTTGGTTGGGATTTTTCACTACTACGGATAGTCTCCTTGGGAATACCGACTTTGACAGATACCTAACGACATGTTTCTGATTCTTCCTACTAGTCTTGGGGACTTGGAGTTCTTTTAAGGGCCATGGGGTACTTGATTACTTTCTCTTTTCGATCATTATGTATGCATACAATGATTTTAACAAAGTGGAATACATCTATTTCATTCTCAATCGTAATTCACCTTGCTAGTGCGCACTTCTTGATTCAGATGATAAGGTCTAATAATGCTGTACTCACTTGCCTGGTCTATTCACGGTTCTGTGCGTGCGAATTACTCTTTTGCAATTTTGAAATATGAGAATCCTTTGGACTATTTGCTCTTGTGGACGGGCTTGAGGGGGAGAGAGATTATGTTTCGAATAGTGTAGTGTTTCATCGGTTCATTGCTAAGTACTTGGTAGACATAAGGGTTTGGATTGATATAACAGTCAAATAAACAATTGAAAGCATCGTTTGATCGACAAGTTGCAAGAATGCTATCATCACAATCACTTAACTTTTGGGCTCAAAGTTCTGAACAGATTCGTTTCAAACATTAGATAATACTAACAGTTACATACTCCCATACTCAATATATCAGTCAAATCTATTCTTATGATTATTTATATACGAAAACTTGACGGTGCATTTTTATCTAAACATCAAATCACACGCTAACAATGGTTAAGGAGGATATGGAATTGTAATAACAGCGTGGCCTAATGGCTGTACCAGACTAACAAATACTGTTAAGGTCTACGACTTTCTCGATCCATGATGCTCCTGTACCCTCATAACTCTGTATACCAGTATCAAAGTCGATCTGCAATGAAGCAGAAATTCAGATGAGCCTAGGAGGTGGCTAGCCAGTTTCTATCGGTGGCAGTATCGAAGTTACGGCTCGGATGATCACTTCCATGATTTCCCACTGCCAGTTCCAGATACGCCGCTGCAGTACTACCAAGCCACGCGTAGAAACCCCAGGTACTTGGTTGCTATGCTCTTTGGCGAAGACAATACGAAGTATTTATATACATTTCAATCTACAACGGAACTATTGTAAGAGTGAATAGAAAGGTTTGATACCACTCAAAGGTGAGAAGCAGACAATCGTCTCAACAATTTTGCCCAATTCAACGTACTGATAAAATCAGGGCTGCCGAAGCGAATTCTTTCCACTGGAGGATTTCCCAATCTACAAGTCGGTACGGCTCATACGGCCTTTCGCGTTGCTGAAAGGTTCGAGATACACCTGTCGCGTCACCCACTACAGTCCATACGGTTCATATGATTTCCCTTCGCAACGGAAATTTGGAGAATGCACGTTGAAGTTCTGTCGCATTTTCCAATACAGTTTATACGGCTCACAAACTGCCTATCTCGAGAATGAAATCGAGAGCGCTAGCCCATTATTTAATACAGTCTGTACTGTCCATACGATTCTTCAGGTACGATGTCCATACAGAACATAGACTCGAGAGCGCTAGCGCGTTTTTCACCACGGCTTGTACGGCTCATACAATTTTCTCGTCGCGATGAACGTACTGAATATAGACTCGAGAGCACTAGCATGGTTTTCACCGCAGTCTGTACTGTAAACACAGTTTTTCTCGTTGCTAGGCGAACTCTTGAGAATTACTTAAGGGTTCTGGATTTCTCACTAATTTCAACATCTCACAACAGCATCCACGATAACCGCCTCCTCTCCATCCCCTATTCAAGATGGAACAACATAGCAGCACCAATTCGTTCGGAAAACGCGACAATGAGGATCCACTAAGCAGAGAAGAATATATGTTAAGACCACAAAGAGATGAATATCTGTTAAGGCACCAAAGGGAAATGTGGGAAGATCATCAAGACTCGAGAAGAGGCTCAGAATCGTACGCTTCAAGATACTATAGAAAGCAATCGAGGAGAGTGGTAGATAGCTATAGACCAAGCGATAGAACAAATAATCCATATTTTCCTCGAGTTCCACACCGCAATCATGCGGCTCGACAACCTCCGCGCCTCGGTCCTGGTACGCGTGAGACCACTACTCAGGGATCGCAAACTTCACGCTTCGACACTGCGAGAACGTCGCTTGGCAGTGTTACGGGATCTGCAGGAGCATCAGAAGACTTCGAGTCAGCTCCACTAGTCTCATATCCTGTAGAAGCCGTCCCTTCCCCAGAGAGAGAAGAAGCCCCTTCATCGAGAGCCGAAGATGAGTACGAGCTCCTTTCCGAGCATGCCGGAGGCCCAATACGCCGCTTCACCAAGAAAATGTGTGACGTTATCACCGAAACGATTACAGAAAATTCCGACGATGATTACATGAGCGCGATAGAGATTCTCAGCAGAGCGTGCAATAACGTTGCAGTGAAAACCGGTACATATCTCGAAGTACACGACTGTTGGTTGTACTGGCGCAAGAAGGGTATGCAAAGAGATATCGCTCCACGCTGGCCAGAAAATCTAGATGATGTCGATGAGGAGGTGGAAAAGTATAGGCAATTGAAGACTGCCAAGTCTGATAGCGCTAGAGCAGCATATGCAGCTAGACTGGCTACAACACCAGTCCCTGCTGGGAGCTCTGCCACCGCTGAAACTACCGAGACTGTCGCGGTACCAGGCCCAGCTAGAACTTCTAGGTATTGGCCTCAAGAAGAGAAGGATTTCCTTTTTGAAATGGTGAAAGCACGTAAAGATAAGCAATATCGTGTGAAAGCCAAGAAGTTCTGGATGATGGTTGGGGCAGCAATGGGACGAGAGAAATATACTAGAACATCGGAGGAATACCGCGAGTGGTTTGAGAAGCATGGTCGCAGATACTTCAACTACGACGAAACCGTTTACTATTCGCGGCCTGGCGATCGTCGTGTCAGCGCTGGCAGAATGCAACATGGGGTTATGACACCAGAAGACTCTCCAGTCGGCGATGCTAATAGGAGAAGAAGAGGAGGTTCGCAGCTGAATAGCGGCAGGGTGAAACCTCGTGCTTCCATGGCGCAAAAATCACCCAGGACTCCCAAGACGCCCAAACCCGTCATGCCACGGATGTCAAGTGTGGTAATACACGACATGAACAGTGTGGCGAATGGCTATAGAATTCGGGACAAAACGGCAAAAAACGCAGAAGAGTATCCTCTACAATTAATCACGCCATCTGCCGGCGAGCGCTTTGAACCTTTCACTACCGAGACGCGGGAAGCCTATGATCCTCCTCCATCCCCAGCCGCCAGCCCGCCCGGAAGTCCTTTGTTCGTAACCGAAGATGAGCCGCAGACCGACCGGAATCTCGTCCCGTTAGCTCGTGAATCGATCAGTTCTCGCTCGTCACCCACGCCTGCGCTAACCAGCGATCAATCCGCGATACCAGATGAGACAAAATCGCCTAGGGAAACATCGGAATCGGGCGAGACAATGACGTCAAATGAAGGAATCTATTCTATAGACCCAACGGCGTCAGACGAAAGAATCGATTCCAGAGAGACAATCTCAGCAGAAGTTGTGCATACACCATTCTCACGACCAAACGAAACAGAGGATGCAGAGGATGGTGTACAATGGGTGAGCGATGAATGGGGCTTCGCCACTCCGCCCATAATGCGACCAAGTGGAATGGATGATAGGGCACCGATGGATAATCAAATTGATTTCAACTCCAGCCACATCTCCGCAAGCACAGATTCAAGCGATCCTTCCACCTCCGCAACACCTCCAGTCTTCGATGATTCTCTGACATCAAACGAGAAAACCGAAGAGATCCCCTTGTCCCAGCCAGTCTCCACAAATGATATCGAGTCCGAAAACAACCACAGCTCGGAATCAGAGGCACAATTGTTACGAGAACAACAGGAACGGACCGATCTCGAAATCTCTAATTTGCGAGCGAATTATCTGAGAATCAAAGAAGCAGGAGACGACGACAGGAAGAAATTAGATGATACCGCGGAAGAATTAGTTATTTTGATCTTGAGGAGAGCCGAGCAGCTGGAAAGCCAGACTGCTAATCTAGCCGAGATGCAAAGAATCGAGGCGGAACTTCAGGAGAAAGAAAATGTCAAACAGGCTTTGAGTATTGCTCTTGAAGAACTGGAGTTTTATGGATAGACTTTAGGGTATAGGGCTTCCAATCGTCCAGGTTGAAGTCCGATAATCAGACAAAGTACTAAATGAATTGTAGGACTAGGAGAGTGGAGTACATAGCGTATCTTATAGCAGCGTTAATGATAACTTGTCAATATAAAATGCAAATCCCAGTGAAGAAATGCCCTCAATCTCTGTTTAATTCAAGACACTAACTAGATATGCCTTTGAGAAAGTGCCATGATGCAAAAACGCTTGTTGGAAGCACCGGCCATAACGCCATAATTAGAGATAAATCTTTCGTCCATTCCTCTGCGATAACTTCGTGGGTATCATAAGATGCTCCAGTCTTCCCTGAGCAGCTCGCTGCTGCATTTCTTAACATTCACCAATCCATTCAAAAGTCTCCCTGTGACTCCATCGTTTTTTTTTTACTTCACTCAAATCCCACCAACATTTCAATTACCAACAACCCTCTTGACCTTCTCCAATAAAACCTGACTCTCCCTTCCTAACTTTCTTTGTCCATTCTTTCCTCCACTCCTAGCCTTCGCCATCTGCCGCCGGAATCTCTCCCGCTCCTCAATTTTAGCCTTCTTCTCCCTTTCTTTCCTCTCAAACTCTTCTCTTCGAGCCTGCTGTTCTGCCTTTTGCTTCTCAGCAAACGCTAATTCTTTTGCGAAATAAGCCGGCTTTGCTCCTCTCTTTTCTCCTCTTTCCCTCTTCTTATCCTTCGCATCTTCAGAATTATTCGAGTAACGTGGAACGGTTTTGGTGGCAACGTCGGCTTCAGGCTCATCAAGCATAGCTTTCCTCTGGGGATGAAGCTCCACTGGCTCTTCTCCTTCAACGGCATCGTCCCCTTCCTCACTTTTTGTTACCTCGTCCTCCTTATCCTCATCATCGGCATATATTTTCCTTTCATCCCTCAAAGGTTCCCTCGCCTTTATTTTCGCATACGACTTCTTGACTTTCGCCTTGTGAATCAAATCCTTCTTAATGGCAATGACCTTTCGACGCCAAGTTCCATCAGGCAAATTGTCGGGGCCAACTTTGAAGCCGTGGCGAGGTTTTTTAGTAGTTGAGCGTGATGAATTATCTTCTTCGCGGGGGCGCTTGGTAGGAGCCATTTGTGGAATTTGTTAAGTGGAAAAGCGTTTGTGAAAATTGTAATACTGGGATGGAAAATATGAAAATCGAGGATGTCAATGTGATGCCTTGGTGGAATGAATTGAACTGGAAGGGTCTTGTGAGAAAATTTTAGTGGGGACTTATTACACATGCAGAGATTTACTATATTCACACCTGGCCACGCCAATTGAATACGAGTAACATGATATAATTGATACCTACCACTCTCTCATCTGTAGGGTACCCCGGTACTCAAGAGCGATAACGTAGAATAGTGGAATTTTAATGCATCCGCGGTAATCGTAAGGTTATCAATTTGGGAGAGCAGAATCATCATACAGCAAGCATATACCGGTACATGAGGGAGGACCTCTTGATTTTCTTTCCTCTCTTCCATTTCTTGTCTTCTCTGTTGTCTACATTTTTGACTATCATATATATGTGCATTTATATTGAACTGTTAATCTGCATTCTCATTACTGAATTTATTGAGCGAGCATAGTCCAAATTCCTCTTTTGTTCATATCTATTCCCATCAAATATCAGATCATTATCTCATCCTTTCATTCGTCGTACAAGTCCTGCATACGATACGACATCACATCGGCAGAGACAAAGGAATAAGGAACCACCACTTGTCCCCCCGCCTCGTCACAACATCATCCCTCCAAATCCACATTATTACAACATATAAAAGCTCTCTCCCACCCTGAGATATTCAAAAATTGCGTTGAAATGTTCTTATAACCAAACGAAAAGGAGCAAATTCACAAGGCTCCATTCACACATCCATTCATCATGCCCATATTTCAAGATGACCTCGGTGACGGCCGAGAGATATTGCCCATTCAAAAATCAAAAATGACACCTGTTTCAATGTCACCCCCGGAAAGAAGAACGATCATGAGGAAAGATAGTGAAGAAAGCATTAGAACGGAACTATGTGAAGGCCCTGTACCAGATACCCCGAGGGATCAAAGACTATACCGACTTTAGGTTTGGATACAAGCTTTAAGAACTCATACAGCGCAGCATCGGATAGAGGAGATCTTATTGATAGGTTGAAAAGGGGCGAAAGTTCGAGTTGGTTCCCGAATTTAAATGTGTGAATCATTGAGCTCCAATGCATGTGATTTTATATTGACAGTGAATACAGTTGGAGTCCCTACTTCACGGCCAAAGCCCGGAAACTCCCATTCGAAAGACCTCGAATCATTCGAATTCATCTTCCCTGTTACCATCTCCCGAAATATCCAATACTACCAGACCCTCGTCGGTAGACAAACCTAGCTTACAAGCTGGTCTAGAGATTGAACGACCAAGGTCCGCATTACACAGTGGGAATTTCACAGAAGGTCCACAACAAACTATATCTGGCAGTCCTGCGCAAGACATGAAGAGATTTGGCACAGTAAATCTACCATGGCTAGCTACATCTCCACCGCGAAATTTTACTCCCTTTCAACTCGATCCTCGGTTCCCATCAGTGGATAGGGTTGAAGCAGATTCAAGAACAAGAACTCGTGCACCGTCGTTATCCTCTTCATACTCTTCGAGCTTTGTATTAAAAGCACCAACAAGCCCTTTGGTACAATCAGAAAGTAATGACGACTTAGATTATACGTCAAATTTAAATCCAATAGATATTTCTCCCGGGACACCTAAAACTAACTCAAGACGTCATACTTTACAGGCTTCACATTCTATATATCCAAATAATTCTATACCGGGATCCACTGCTTTTAACAAGCCTTTGCCGAGTCTCAGGAGAGACAATACATATCCTTACCAAGCTCATCAACCCCGGAGATCTCTTGCCTCTAACACAATGCCCCACTTGACATCTTCTCCGCAGACACCGATTTTCTCGCGGTCAAGGAGACCTTCATTCTCGGATTTATCACCTCTGCATGCTTCGATGGTGGGATCATATGAAGAGAGTATCCTTCGGGGACGAATGTCTACTACACCCTCTAAACCACTCGATTTTGTTGCTCAAATAGGGGTGCTGGGGTTCGGAAAGTGCAAACCGAGTCTCAAATGTCCACCTCATGTGACCCTATCATTTCCGGCAGTATTTTATGCCTATGAATCCACAAGTCATGGTCGGAGAGGGAAATCTGATGATGGACCTAGTCCATATGTTGGCTGTATTGATTTAGAAAATGGATTGCCGAGCCCCGAGAAAGCCAAGGATAATCAAAAGAGGAGGAGAAATGCTACGCTTGACCGAATACATACGGATGATCTCGACGCCAACCCATCAAGTTCAGGACAAGCCTCAGAACGAGAAATTCGTAGAGCAGGAAAACAAAAACGCCGATCCACTTCTCCACGAGCGCCTCCAGGTGGTAGCTATCGTATTCCCGAAAAAGGGCAATTGCAAATCATCATTAAGAACCCTAACAAAACAGCTGTCAAATTGTTTCTCGTCCCATATGATCTCACTGGAATGGAACCTGGCACCAAAACGTTTATCCGTCAACGGAGCTACTCTGCCGGGCCTATTCTTGATTCGGCACTTTCATCTTCGCCTCATCGATCCGCACCTATCATTGATCCACTCGCCGAAAGGCCTACTCTTCGCTATCTCGTTCATATTCACATTTGCTCACCAGCTCGAGGTCGCTACTATCTCTACAAAAGCATACGAGTCGTCTTTGCCAATCGTGTTCCAGATGGTAAAGAAAAGCTTCACAACGAGATCACATTTCCAGAACCAAAATTCACTACTTATAAAGCAATTCGCGATTCGAGTTTCGGGGGTGCAGGTGCGGCATTGGCGGCGGAAAAAGCGTTTCGGAGAAGAAGTTCTGGATTTCCTTTGAGTGGAAATAGGAATTTTGATTTTGGAGGTGATGATGGTGCATCGCATAGGGGAGTGGTGGGTCCTATTCCTTTTCAATTTCCTACGAAGAGGGGTATGACGGATGGAGATAGTGATATTGGACCATTCGATTTGGAAGCAAGGGAATCATTGAATTCGGAGCATAATTCGAGACCGGGTACGGCGTTTGGAGAGGTAGAAATGGGCGGTATGAGGAGTGGCATAGGGACGGGACTATATGAGAAATTGAAGAAAGGCGATTTGGGTTATGGCGGTGACGGATTCTCGTCAACGAGAGTCAATACTCCCGATAGAGGGGGGAGACAATCTCCCGCTGAAGGATTGCTGGCAACAAGATTGAGGGAGCTGGGTGTAGGGCTCTCGATGGGGATGGCTGGTATAGATGAGAGAGAAGGAGAGGGTCCTGAAAGCAAGAAGCTAGGGGGAGATTCATAGGCATTATTAGAATCGGGGTTTGTGAATATTGTGGTCACATTACTCGGAGTATAAACTAGCTGGATTAGTCTAGGGTTGGCTTTTTGGGCTCTTGACATGTAACAATTTGGTATCGCATTGTATCACAGGGCAAGGCTTGGCATGGCATGGCATCGCATAAGTATAGGTATAGGAATCGTTTGGCGTAGTGTGGTTTTATTGCTTGAAAATTTTAGGAATCTTGGGGATCTGGGGATAGGATTAGGGTTTATAGATGGAGATGGGCTGGAATTGGAACTGGAGCTGAATGTACTACCGGTGCTACATAGTCTAGAAATATTGGGATTTTTAGGGTGATTTTTTGTGGGATTGATTAGTGTGTGTATGTATGTATTTTGGATAGTTAATTAATGAAAATTTGATCAATTTAAATGTTTATGTGAGATTGGGAGGGAGAAGATGGGGAGGGCAGGGAGATCCGTTTGTTTGTATGGGGTGAGTAGATAGATGGTTTAATGGTTTGAAGGTTTGGGAGGGGTATTAGGGATTTATGATAGGTAGGTTGGTGGATGAGGTAGGTAAATAAGGTAGATTTTGTATGGTAGAGAGAGGGATGTATAGGGATGTATGGGGAGGAAGAGGAAGGGGGAAAGAAGGGGGGGGGAAGAAGAGGGGGGTAGAGGTACTTCTCTTATGTATGTGTGTGTGTGTGTGTATTTCTTTGATACTTGGATTTGGACTTGGACTTGGACTTGGACTTGGATTTGGATTTGGATTTAAGGGAGATTGAGGGTTTGGTCAAGAGTTGGAGTGGGAAAGTTTGGAGGTGTAGGTTGTAGATTGTAGATTGTAGATTGTAGATTGTAGATTGTAGATTGTAGATTGTAGATTGTAGATTGTAGATTGTAGATTGTAGATTGTAGATTGTAGAAGTAAGAGTAGATTGGATTGGGGGTAGGAGAGAGAGAGAGAGAGAGAGAGAGAGAGAGAGAGAGAGAGAGAGAGAGAGAGAGAAATGAGTGGAGAGATGAATCGATGAGGTAGAGAAGGATGGAATACGAAATTTTTCACATATCTATATATATGTCTATATACAGTATGAAAAATGAAAAATGTATAAATATCTTCAAATTTTTGAAGACAAGATAATAAGATAAAATAAAATAAGATTTAGATGATATTGTTATTAGAATTTGTGAGTTTCGATTTTTTCTAATCTTTGAGAGTCGAACGTTGGTGGTTGGGATTAGACTAGAATGTAGAAAATAGGAGGCGAGAGGTAATTGAGAGGGCGGGGAGGAGAAGCCTTCAAGAAGGAGTTTAGAAGAGGATAAAATAGAAGCGGTGAGAGATTTGCGGATAGATTTAGAGGGGTTTGAAGGAATCTGAAGGAGAGGAGAGGAATATAGTTTGAATTTAGAGGAGAGGGGGTTGGTTAGTGATTGGCTGGTTGGGTGGTTGGCGAGGAGGTGGTTAGGTGGTTGGGTGCTTATTGTTAAATGAATATTCAGAATTTAGAATTGAGAATTAAACGTTAAACACCAAAAAAAAAAGAAAAAGAAAAAGAACCACAGCAATATTCAAATCTGAAAATAAGTATCAATAATAATATCAACATAACATAGAAATATAAACTTATATACCACAAGGGACGAGAAGACCAGGAGTGAAAGAGGAAATAATTTTTTTTTCGAGGAACTGTGCCAGAGCTTGCGATACATTGAAATCGTATCAAAGTTTATACAGAGATCTTGTGTATGATGTACTTTACCGGGCTAATTATATGCTTATATGGTGGGTTATGGGGTGGGTGATATAAGGGGTTGAGAGCATATGAGAGTATGAAAATAATTATACAACAAAAGTTGAAATCACCACAGGACCTTGAAAGTCGGGGAGGGAGGGAGGACACAATAGTTCTAAAACAACAACTCGCTCACAATCAGTCTTGAAGTTATTATTTTTGTTGCTTTTATATGAGTTATTTTTGATCTTGATATAAGAATAAAGTTATATGGTTGTATGGTTATTGTATAGCGGGATATGTAATATATAGAGATAGCATTTCTCGTCCTCTCATCTCTTCTCATTCATTATTCATTCGTTCATTCGATGGAGAAATAAATATAGATATAGATATGCATATGTGTACAGAGTAAGTTCGAATAGCGAGTGTTATATATCAGAATGTATTTTATCACGTATACATGTGTAAGGCAAGAAGATGAGGATGTATTCATTTCTTTGGTGGAGAGGTAAATATAGATATGAATATGAATAGCAAGTTCAGACGGCTATGCGAAATAAACGTGTTTTATTATGTATCCATATTTGAATTTAGAAGCAAGGAGATAAGGAGCCAATATGTGAAACAATATAATTTGAATGGAATGGAAATGTATATATACCGTGTGTATATCTGGGTTGAGGCTCTGAAGATGAAGTAATAGGATGCAGGACTATGACTGTATACATCTGACTTAACACACCACGAATTCCAAAAAAAAATAAAAAAATAACCACACCAAGATATTCCCCCATAATAATCAACACTAACAATGAACAAGAATGAATTTTGTAGGTTGACGGAATATATAGAGATAGATATTCAACCTGCACCTGTACATTTACGCACTGAAAAGTATAATTCTCGTCTCCAATTAATTGGGAATGATAAATAGTATACAAGTAGTCGAAGGAATGAAATTAGAAGACAAATTTATTCCATCGCTCACACACTTGTGTCAAAGGTTGTTTTTGATGTTCGAGGTCAAGGAGAAGGGACAAGCTCTGCTAAGGGAGTCTAATCAAAGTTGCTAATTCGATTGATGGAAGTTTATCATACTAAAGTAAGATTGATGAGGAGAAGATATTGAAAAGCTAACTAGCTCTCCATGTTGAAAATGCATGCTAGTTTAAAAGACTATATAATGCCTATTTCCCAAGAGCAAAGCAAAGGCCGGCAAGATGATCAATATCGATGATGTGCAAACATGATCAGTAATCAGATTATAAAACCTAAAGTTCCGTACATGAAAGTAAGTCTGATCAGCAGTTTTGACACCAGATATCTGGACTGAGATCTAGATCTTGACAATCCACTCATTACCGCTCAGTTCGTCTACTAACCAAAGGACAAGCACTCACTTGTCATGTGTTCATACTAATAATACTGGTACTGAATCGCAAGTATCTTAGCACACTCTACCTAAGTACATAAAATCCATGTATATAAAAGGGGGGTTGTGCATATGAAATTCAATACATCAGCTTGCACAAAAAAGATATATGCCAACACAATACGAGAAGACTCCGCCACTCAGGAAGTTTCAAAAGTTTGAGAGAGAAAAAAAAGCAAAATCTGAATCATGATGACGATAAGAAAGGCAGAAATGAAAAATGTGAGTAGGAGGCGGTGAAGGGTGAAAGCATTGACCTTGAATCTTCCTCGCGATCTTTTGTTTCAAGATGATACCGGACTTCTTGAATGTGGATGAGACTAAAAATCATATCTACCCTACCTATATATCTTTGTAGTAATCCGTCTGATGTTTTCTGCGGCTTGCTGAGCCGTCATATCGAACTTTTGTGTTTTGGGTGTATTTTAATCTTTCAGTAGTTGTGTTAGGATACTTCGTACGTAGGATGTCCATGTACAATCCCATATATCGGATAAATCCTTGATTTTATATCTTGTAGACGTACAAAATCGTATTCAAGTGATGGAGCTGAGGTTGAGTTTCGTTAACATGGTAATACCTAAAAATACTCCGACTCTTGTTCTCCAATATTAAATGAGATTTTGACGATCTTTTGGGGAGGCACCACATGCATTTTGGTAACCTGACATACCATTCCTTTCCGAGGATCCTTAAATGTACTGTACGTACCTGCTCTCGTACACTTGGCTCAGAATGGTTGATGAGAATAAATGAAAAGAAAAACAATCTCGGTTGAGCCGAGGGTAAGGTAAGGTAAAGTCAGGCAAAGCCAAGAAAAAGCAACGATAAAGACTCAAGAGTCTGTCTAGCTGAAAGGATTGAATGTTTGTACAAAATAGGGCTTCCCATTTCCTACAATGTGCTCATAGAGAAACAATCAATGAGCTTTGATAAGTATCGTACAATCCATCAAATGAGTCTTTCTGTCAGGTGACGGTTGAATGGTATTTGAAATCAATCATGGATAGTCAAAATAGTCAGAATATTCTACCTAATTAGGTACATACTTAGCAATGCCGGTACATCTGGTCCTGGGTTAGGTCTTACTTCCAGAAAAGTTTGCTGATGTTTTTGATTCATGCCCAGGTGTCAAAAGGTCTGAGGACGGTCAAAGCAAATGAATATCTTTTGGAGATCTGAGAGGCTGAACAGGATGTCCCTTGTGGCGTAGATGGAGGCTGTTCGAACGCTAACTGTGTTTCTTATTACATCGTATTATTTGGTGATGCCATGTTTGTTGTCTGGGTATTTGCGGCTTGATCTTGACAAAATGTGCGGTGCAGATAGTGAAGAAGATGTGATGCATGGAATGGCCATGAAAGCTTGACGGCTGACATCTTCCGGCGGATGAAAGTCGGATCACCATCTGGGTATTGGCGCAACCGTTTTTTATCGTCGAGGGCTACACTGATGATACTAGGAGGAAGGGAAATGTAACCAACAGCTGAAGGACTCGTTATCCTTGTAGGACGAAGAGGAGTGGAAAATGCTCACACCCTCACACTCCTCCTTGATTTGACCGTATGTTACTGTGCAAGAATATCAATAGTTGAAGTTCTGCTGGTATCATCCTTTCTGCATACCTACCTACCTAGTATACAGTACAAATGGTAGTTTGTGTATGCACCTTGGCGAAAGAAGAGAAGAAAATAGATGTGGATGGCATAACCTTAAGTCCCCACAAAGTGTAGGATGTTAAGTGAATTTCGAAAAGATGGTTATGATCCTAGGATGTTGTAAAGATTAATTCTGGATCGAATCTCTTTCGGTCTGGGTGTTCCAATTCGGACGGTTTTCTTGTTCTCCTATGTTGTTTAACTTGTTCTTGTTACTACTTAGGTATGCATGCAATACTGCCGTGTCTTCATCGAATGTGCGTAGAATCATTGAAAGTCGAGAGTCAGGGTCCAACCGCCCTAGACATTTAGCTTGACGATAGCCCTCAAATTATAATGAATTACTCACGGGAAGGGATGATTCAACTATACTTGACTGGACTAAGTCGAATCACCATGAGTGATTAGAGTTTAGAACCGATTAAAATACTTGTTCTTTGATGCGAAGACGTGAAAAACGTGATTCGAATGTGGAGGAGGATATGTTTGAGAGTTTCAAAACTTGATGATCATTTTTATTCGACTTAGTGAATTCTTTTTCGAAACCTGTGAACCAGTGATCTACCGACCGGATACGATGTTAGCAAAAAATACAAGAAGAAGAATAGATTTTCCTGGCCAAGTATGTACAATGTGCCCAAGTAGAAGAGACTGACTGGTAGAGTATCATGCAATCTCAATCAATATATTCGCAAAGAATTGGCTGCTGTGCTTCTTGTAACCGCGTTGGAAAGGTCGTTTGCTGCAAAACCTTGCAAAGCTGCACTCGCTTCTTAGCTGCAAGATGAAACTGACCACTCGTTGCCCTTACATCCATGTTAACCAGGGACAGGAAAAAGATCCGGGCTTGACTAGGGTTGAGATATTTTTGACCATGGCGCGAACAATTCGGTGGTAAGGAGTGTGTTAAAAAATGGTACAGCACTGGTATACAAATTAATATCTGCGTAAACATATACCTCTTTCGAGAGTTTGCACCTGGGATGGCCCTTTATATTAACAAGTGGATATGGATAGGAAGAATGTGACGAGGAAGGCACCCAGGCATATCGATGATAGCTGGAGATATCAATACCTCAGGTGTCCACGATGTACATGTTGAGATGTTGTAGAGATCCTATCCACTATCCACATCATGTACCTACCTACCCTCCTACCTCCTGCCACACAAGCCGGGAACACTTGGACCTCCTAGCACCAGCGGAAAGGAACGATATGTGAATTAGAACGGACTAGGGTCCTGAATAGCTTGGCGGGAAAGATATTTCCACTCCACCACACCCCCACGATCATCAAAGCGCCTTGGTGATTTAGATGTGACCTTACCCAAAAGAGTATCGTTGGAACTTTTCATATCGACTAGATACCCGTACCCTCATGATTTCCATCCCACTTCCTCTCCTAGTCCCACGACACTTCCCTCGATTTTTATGTTTACATGGTGAAAACTAGCAGAGAGAAAAGCATCGGAGCCAGAGAGCCAATGGTTACATTGATTTCATCCCAGCTTTTTCCAATGCAGTGTAGTCTGTACAATGCATACCCTTAGAAGCCCCACGGACGCAGTCTAAAGAAACGGTAGAACATCTCATTATTGCTAATATGCACCCTGGGAGGCAAGTATAAGAAAAAGAACTTCACCCACCCCCCTCCTCCAAGTCAAGCAGGGGTTATGCTTTGACTTCCTTTTGGTATTCTCCTTCCTACTTGACCCTCGTGGACCACCTGTCGAACCTCTTCAAATACCTTTCTTCGACCTCATCATCTTCCTTCTAAATTCAAACATTCTTTCAAGAGAAAGATTCTTTGCTGGGTCGCCGTTGGAGCCAACATTGTCATCATATTCATTCGTTCCCACTGTCATGTTACTTTCCCCTTCTTAACCTTTTACTTCGTCACAATAACTGGAAGATTGAATCTTTCCTTTCCTTTCATCGTTTGAAAAAGAAATTTTAATTCCTCAAGTCGTTTGGTGAAACCTCAATTTTCCTTTTAGGACTATTTCGCATCTAACGGGCATCCATTCGTTTCAACCAAACATTAATTCGATATACCAAGACATTATACTGCAGCTTTCACCCATTTCCTGCTGTGATAGTCCAACTTGCGGCAAACCACGATAACCTGCATTTCATTCTCCTTTTCACGATCATTTCACAAAAGCATACAGAAATAATCTACGCCTCAAATCCGCCTTCTTGAGTGAATACGATTTATTCTTTCCCACACCATCTTGTGTCTACCTAAGCTTTTCAACCGATTAGGCGGAGCGTCGCTCAACATATTTATCCTCGAATTTTACCTGGTTAAACAGGAACTCGAATACCGTGTTACGGAAGATTTCTGAATTACTCAGATTGACCAATTCGCTGGAGAGTCATTGGTTTGTACGTTTGATGCATCACATATTTCTTCACAGACACACTCTGACGAATTTGCTCTTTAGTTACTCATCTCCAGACGGGCACTTTTCGAAACCTCGCGCATGGTGTTCTTCCGTTCCCAAACTTGAGATATTGCAGCCGGCGATTTAATATTTGGCCCAGATCCACACTACCCTCCTGCCGAAATTCTATTACATTTAAAACTGTTATTTGGGGTTCAAGATGGTCCAATACGATACTTCACCATGGCCGGTGAGAGATGTGAGTAGTTTTTTCCCTATTCAGACTCATTTCTTCGCTCTTTCTCACGATGGAGCTGTGAGGAGTAGTTCACTGACAATTTTGCTTCCAGATCGTCTACACCTCCATAGTGGGTTCAGTAATGCTTGCCGCATTCCTAGAGTGGTTTCTCTGGCTGGCAGCGTTCATGTATTGTCTGTTCAAGGTTTTCCAAAAGGCTGAGCACTGGTCCGTCCGGGTTTTGTCAGTAATAGTGGCGATTGTCTTCTTTCTCTTGAGGTACGAAATCTATTGAATAATATATGTGTAGGCTTTGCTAATCAGGATCTTCTACAGAGCGATTTATCTGCCCATTATGGTTGTCACGCTTCCTTTACCAGAAGGAGTCACTCAATATTTCCCAAAGGAAATGGTTACCTTCCTTCAATGGTTCGGATTTTGGTCGTTCGCAGCTCTTCTCACCATTCCATGGCTCTTTTGCGTATATCAAATTGTAACAAATTCCCTGGGACGAAAAAAACGTATAAAGCAAGTGTTAGATGAGCACTCAGCACCAAAGGTTGTGATTGTCATGCCATGTTACAAGGAAGAACCAGATATTTTGGTGACGGCTATCGATTCAATTGTGGATTGTGACTACCCTCCTTCTTGTATTCACGTCTTTCTTTCCTTCGATGGCGATCAAGAGGATGAATTATACCTTAAGACGATTGAAGCACTAGGAGTTCCGTTATCCCTAGATTCCTACCCAAAGAGTATCGACGTGACCTACCGAACTGCTCGAATTACAGTCTCCCGATTTCCACACGGTGGAAAGCGTCACTGCCAGAAGGCCACATTCAAGTTGATCGACAAAGTTTATACCGAATACCTGAAGCGCAATGACAACCTGTTCATTCTTTTCATCGACTCCGATTGTATTTTGGATCGTGTTTGTCTCCAGAACTTCATGTACGATATGGAGTTGAGCCCGGGGAACACCAGAGATATGCTGGCAATGACAGGGGTTATTACTTCGACTACAAAGAAACACAGTCTCATTACTCTGCTCCAAGACATGGAATACATTCACGGCCAACTCTTTGAGCGAACAGTCGAGTCAGGTTGTGGTTCCGTCACGTGCTTGCCAGGAGCTTTAACGATGCTACGATTTTCTGCTTTTCGCCGTATGGCCAAATACTATTTTGCTGACAAGGCTGAGCAATGCGATGATCTTTTCGACTACGGTAAATGTCATTTGGGAGAGGATCGATGGCTCACCCATCTTTTCATGATTGGAGCAAAGAAGAGATTTCAAATTCAAATGTGTACATCTGCTTTCTGCAAGACCGAAGCTGTTCAAACTTACCAATCTTTGATCAAGCAGCGTCGTCGTTGGTTCTTGGGATTTATCACTAACGAAGTTTGTATGTTGACTGACATCAGAATCTGGAAGAGATATCCAATCTTGGCCGTCGTGCGGTTTATGCAGAACACGATCCGAACAACAGCTCTACTATTCTTCATTATGGTACTTTCGATTATCACAACTACAAAGAAGGTTCAAGATCTTCCAGTTGGATTTATTGGTATTTCACTCGGCCTTAATTGGTTGATGATGATCTACTTTGGTGCTAAACTCCGCCGTTTCAAGATCTGGCTCTACCCATTGATGTTCATCATTAATCCTTTCTTTAATTGGTATTACATGGTTTATGGCATCTTCACTTGTGGACAACGAACTTGGGGTGGACCTCGAGCAGATGCTGGAGCTGCCGATTCGACCACAAGTCCACAACAAGTTATCGAAGCCGCAGAGGAGGCTGGAGATGATCTCAATGTTATTCCAGAAACATTCAAACCCGCTGCCGAAGCTCGAAACAATCAAATCGTTCGCCGCCCAACGCTTCCTTTGTTGCCCCCAACTCGTCTCGAAGGTCGTTTCGCGGCTGCGGAGAGACTCCCAGGTGGATGGTATCAACATGTCAATGACTCTCTTACTAGCGTTGCTGTCGGACGCGTTGCGCCTTCTGGACAAAATCCCATGGGATCCAGAGAATCTATCGATAGTTATGTGTCAGGGTTTACCGGCACAAACTCGGTGTACATGCCAAGACGAGTGGAGAGTATCATGGGAGAAGAGGATAGAAAGAAGTATGAGATTGCTCAAGCCAATCAAAAGGCACCAGCTGGAGCATACTACAACCAGGTAAGCAATAATAGTTCTGTGCAAATTGAATAGTGCTAACTATGTACTTAGGGATACGTTTATGAAATTCCTGATGGGCCAGAGGCCAAGGGTAAATTTCAAGATTCAGTGGAATCTTTGGCGTCCCTGGATGGAACGACATCAAATTCTTTGGCAGTTCCTCAAACATCTTCGTACCGAAATGGGCGAAGTCCTCTGGGTCGTTTGTCTTTGATTCGTTCCAATTCGAGGGATGACCCAATTGAGATGGAAGACCAGCGATCGGATAGAGATCAACATTCTGACGGTTCCAACTCTCCCGAACCGAAACCGAAACGTTGAGAAGAGTCTCAGGTGAAAATAGGGCCTCGACATTTTGGAAGGGAAATGGGATCAATCGGATTGGGCCCAAAGAGCCTGTAGGAAGGTTCATTGGCTGAAAAGTTCTACGGAACAAGCACAGGGGGGGTGGATTTCTTGGGCATTACGAAGGGCATTCATATAACATGGCATCTGCATATTGCATCTTGCATTTTGATGGTTTTTGATACACCATATTGAAATGGGCATAGCGCGGCGTACAAACAACCATACCAGACCACGAGCATAGAAAGGCACGTGGAGGAATTTTGCATCATAGAGGCCAGAGAACCATAACTCTCGGCAGGAGTTGTAATTAATGATAAAAGGAAACTGAAGAGAGAGCTACAGTAGAACAATTCGAATAAAGTAAACAAGTTTGCTGTCATGTCCACGGTTTGAATCTAAGCCCTAAATTTGGAGGTTTGTTTGACAAATAACCTTATTTATACAAGGATGTGGATTGCAAGAAATCATCATCATTACTGTGACTAGACATATGAATACGTTTATTAATGCCAATGCCTATAATGGTCCCAATGAAACTTGATACCTAACATTTATTGTTTTTGTGACAAAGAATAGGGCGAAACTCTTTGGGCCCTTTGATCCAAATGTGCCAACACAACATTTTCCCACCCCCCACCAAACAGACGTCACTTTACCAACAAAGTGGCTCAAAGTGGCTCCTACTCCTGCCAGGGTTTGCTTGGTGGCTCACCCATTTTCTTCCCCTTCCGTTTGTTTTCGCCTTATCGTAAGCTTTATCAATGATCGAGCCGTGTCACGTGATGAAGAGGGGTGAACGAAGTTGGTAGAAAGTGGGAGAATGACTGGAATTGTTTGGGGAGGGAGGGGAAGTCATTTGTATAAGTGCAGATATATTCGTAAGTGATTGTGTCAATATCAAAAAGGAAGAGAGACGAAAGGATGTGTACATGTTGAGTGTATACTGAATATTGTTATGGATATTTGTATTTGTATTTATATTTATATATACAATTTATACATACAACACAATTTAATCCATAATATTACGCAAGAACAAGGCTGTCGATTACATGTAAATAGCCGTGTATGGCAAATTCCCTGATGTAATGAAGTGAATTGGTCGAGAAAGATCGAGAAGTTTCTTCGTTAAGCTGGAAGCGCTTGTAGTGTAGTGTGGTGTGTGTAGACAACGGGACCGCGCCTTCGCCAGATTAGACTGAAAAATTAAAATTTCTGAGAACCCCTTCTATTTCGTACTTTGTCAAAAACCAAACCCAACTTGAGGATTTGATTATCAACAAGAACAACTTTCCCATATTCCCCCCAAAAGTTTTTATCTTTCTCTTTTTAGACTTTCCAAAAAGGAATCCCAATCTTTTAGATATCCTTTCTTCCCTTATCTTCAGAAGATTCTGCTTCTTCTTACCTTTACATACCTCCATTAACTTTTAAGCGCAAAGACAACAACTCAACCTCAATATGTCTGGTAGGTGATGAGTACTTTACCCAGTTCCGCTCTTTGACCAGGACTTTGATGCTAACTATCATGGTGTTATAGTCGTCGGTGTAGATTTCGGTACTCTTAACACAGTCATCGCGGTCGCAAGAAACCGTGGTGTCGATGTTGTATGTATTTTTACCCTCTTGGATGGGTTTTCCCTTTGGTGGGGGTAGTTTATGCTAACTGTTTTTTTGCGCAGATCACAAACGAAGTTTCGAATCGTGCAACTCCGTAAGCTATCTTGATTCCACTTCATTTTGAATACTTCTAACATATCTGCTATCTAGTTCCCTTGTAGGATTCGGACCCAAAGCCAGATACCTCGGTGAACCAGCGAAGACACAAGAAATCTCCAACCTCAAGAACACTGTTGGATCCCTCAAGAGATTGGCAGGTAGATCGTTAAAGGACCCAGATGTCGCTTTAGAACAAGATTATGTCTCGGCTCCTCTCGTCGACCTCAACGGTCAAGTTGGTGCGGAAGTCACATATTTGGGCAAGAAGGAAAGATACACTGCCACTCAACTCGTGGCTATGTACCTGAGCAAGATCAAACAAACAGCTTCTGTTGAGTTGAAGCTTCCAGTATCAGATATGGTCATGAGCGTACCAGCATGGTTCACCGATGTTCAACGTAGAAGTTTGATGGATGCTGCTGAGATTGCCGGTGTCAAGCTCCTCCGTTTAATGAACGATACCACTGCCGCTGCATTGGGCTGGGGTATTACTAAATTGGATCTCCCAAGTCCAGAGGAGAAGCCCCGTCGTGTGGCTTTCATCGACATTGGCCACTCCAACTATACCGCCTCGATTGTGGAATTCAGAAAGGGTGAACTCACCGTCAAGTCAACTGCTTACGATAGACATTTCGGTGGACGAGACTTCGACAAGGCTTTGGTTGAGCACTTTGCCGCAGAGTTCAAGGAGAAGTACAAGATCGATATCAAGACCAACCCCAAGGCTATGGTCCGTGTTGCTGCTGGTGCCGAGAAGTTGAAGAAGATCTTGTCTGCTAACGCCATGGCTCCTCTCAACATTGAATCTTTAATGAACGACGTTGATGTTAGCGCCATGTTGAAGCGTGAGGAGCTTGAGGCACTTGTTGAGCCACTTCTCAGCCGGGCCCATATTCCTCTAGAGCAAGCTCTGGCCGATGCCGGATTGAAGGCTGAGGATATCGACATTATCGAACTTGTTGGTGGTTGCACACGTGTCCCAGCTCTTAAGGAGCGCATCCAACAATTCTTCGGAAAGAACCTTTCCTTCACCCTTAACCAAGATGAGGCTATCGCGAGAGGATGTGCTTTCAGCTGCGCCATTCTTTCCCCAGTTTTCCGTGTCCGCGACTTTGCTATTCACGATATCGTTAACTACCCAATCGAATTCACATGGGAAAAATCCCCAGATATTCCAGATGAGGATACCAGCCTTACCGTTTTCAACAGAGGTGGAATTATGCCTTCAACCAAGATTCTTACTTTCTACAGAAAGGAACCATTCAACTTAGAGGCCAAATATGCCAAGCCAGAATTACTCCCCGGCACAATGAACCCATGGATCGGAAGATTTACCGTGAAGAACGTTAAGGCCGACTCGAAGGATGACTTCATGATCTGTAAATTGAAGGCACGTCTCAATTTACACGGTATCTTGAACGTTGAGCAAGGTTACTACGTTGAGGATATGGAAGTTGAGGAGCCAATCCCAGAGAAGGATGGAGAGAAGAAGGATGATGTGAGTAACCAAATTTCTGATACCATTCAACCCTATTCCGAAGACGAGCGTATCGCAAAACGTCCCCGTTTACAGGGACATGATAAACTAACACACACCACCAAGGCTATGGACACCGATGATAAACCAAAGACCAGAAAGGTTAAGAAGCAAGTCCGAAAGGGTGATCTTCCAATTGTTTCTGGTACCGCTTCCCTCGACACCTCCGCCATTGCCACTGCTTCTGAACAAGAAAACACCATGAACATGGAAGACAAATTGGTCGCCGATACCGAAGAGAAGAAGAACGAACTCGAGACTTACATTTACGAAATGAGAAGCAAGATCGACGATCAATATGCCGAGTTTGCAAGTGATGAGGAGAAGGAGAAGTTGAAGGCTAAGCTTGAGGCTAGCGAGGTTAGTTTTCTTAATCTGCTTATACCTGGAATGAGTCATACTAACTACGAAATAGGACTGGCTCTACGATGAAGGTGAAGACGCATCCAAGGCTGTCTACGTATCAAAGATGGACGATATCCGCATGGTAGCAGGACCAATTGCTCAACGCTACTTTGACAAAGTCGAAGCTGAGCGTGAGGAAGTCAGGAAACAAGAAGAGGCTGAGTTACAGAGGAAGAGAGATATGGCCGAAGCTGCTAAACAAGCTGCGATGGCCATGGAGGCAGCAGAGAGTGGAGGAAACGGTGATGAAGTCATGACAGATGCTGAAAAGGTTGAGCCAGAGGTTGAAGAGAAGTAAACAGAAAACATATGAAGTGAAAGGCGAGGGAGTTGGGTGGAAATAAATAGAATAGGCGAGACGTACGTTGTGGTACAACTGCGAAGCTAGGAATGATCTTATAGAATGAATGGATGTTATGAATATGAATACGATAAATGGAGTTTGAATGGAATGGAGTGATGTTGTATAATTTGATATGTTGTTTAAAGATATGGGAGTATGGGGTCTAGAGAGAGGGGAAACAGTGATGGAGGGGGAAGGGAGAAGGGGGAGTAAACGAGAATGTATGGTTAATAGATTGTTAATAGACGTTTATATTGTGTTATACCAACTAGTTAATGTCTACTTGTATACTGATCCAAGTTTCAAATCCTAAGGATGTTTAATGTAAAGGAAGGGAAGTCAAGTCAAGTCAAATCAAGTCAAGTCAAGTCAAGTCAAGTCAAGTCAAGTCAAGTCGGAAAGCCAGGAAAGCTTTCAGAATTGCAAGGAATTGATTACTTGAGATTACTGGAAATGGAAGAAGAAGAAGAAGAGATTAGCTCCTGGACGGTTAGGTGATTATTTATACCACGTTATAATTTTTACATATCGATGGGTCGTATGTGTATACATTCATCAGATGCATCACATAAAACAATACGATACGATTCGATTCGATACGGTGTAATATGATGCGCTTCTCAATTGATAGCGACATATGCTGAATCCATGCATTCACATTCCCATTAGCAATCTCTCCTAGGTATTCTAGGTTCCTCCAGTCGAGTCGAAGAGGACTAAGGACCGAGATACCTAGTAGTGAGGATGAAACGAACATATGCATGCAAGTAAAGAATGTAGAACTGTCGAGGACAACAGAGTAGGCAAGGAAGGTAAGCAAGTCTGAAGAGTGGATGAACAAAAATGAGATTGGCCACCAAATCCTCTAATCTTCATCACGGTACGGTCCTTCACCATCATCTATCTACCTCACTTCTCATGTACCATCAATCAACTCCGCGCCCATCCGTCCTGGTCACCAGAGTGAATTGTAAAGTTCATCTCTAGGATCCTCACAAGAGCCACATCTGCGTCCTCCATCTCCACTACGTTTGTCGCTTCTTTGGGGTTAGCTAGCACCTTGACACATATCAACTCATCATCCATCATTGGAATTGGTTATTTGCTGATGCATTGGGTCTCGGTCGACGATGGGACACGTTGAATCATACCCCTAATGAATGAACACCCGAAGAAGAAGCATCCACAGACTGCGGTGAACTTCATCGAGTGGACAGAGAAGAAGTGTATACTTATATGTTCGCGAACTCAATCCCCAAGTCATAGTTCGGGGTTGAAATGCGAATATGATAACACCAAATTTTATCATGTCCTATTAAGCGGTCCCCGAGAAAAGGGGAATATGTCAGCACTCGTCTATCCTTGTTGTTTTAGTAATGTTGGCAAGAAGAAATGAAAGCAATTTTTTTGAGCTGTCCTCTGTTCAAAGTAGAATACCAAATTGCCGAAATGAAAGCCAGATTAATATCTCGGACGGAACTTCTTGGAAATACTTCCAGGCGTATCTCTCATTGGCAGATTCTCTTCCTTTGTGGGGGAACCTTTATCTTTTGGGCTACTTTCAACAGTGAGGTTTGGGTATGACTTGGAAACTTTTCGCGTAGATACTGAAGTTACCCCAACGTCCAACTCAGGAATATTTCGGGATTTACGATTCTCTTCTTTTAGGGCATTTCCTGGAGTTTGAATCTGAGAAGACTCTTTTGGGGGACCATACCAATCAACATCACTAAGCTGTAGTTTTCTTGACCTCTGTCCACTACGGTTACTACCAGACTTATCAGATCTGGAGAACGTTGTAGTGGCATTTTTATCGAAACCTGAAGTGAAAGTGTGAATATTGGGATTAGGGAGTAAGGGTTGCAGTGCAGAGTCACCATCTTGTTCTTCGCCATCGTTGAGATCATAATTCAGAACTAGATTCTTGATGCGTTGTTGCTCCTCGCGCTCGGCAGCTTGTTGTGATTTCATAGCGATTGCGAAATTTGAGTCTGAAGGGAGGGCTACCGTTCGAGTCTAATAAGTGAATAGTTAGTGACAATTGCAATATTTCGCGGAAGCGAATTCTGACCTGTTGTCGATTACCACGCTTTGTTAAGAGTGAGAATGCCATTGTACCGCTGGATGGACCATTTTCTGAGGTAGTCTCTTTAGGCAATTCGCTTGGGTTTGCGACTTCACGGTCTTTGCGTCTCATGGGAAGTGGAACATCGAAGGTCGCTTTTCGTTCAAATTTTCTGGAATCTAGACTCTCAGCCATCATTTTAGCATACTCACGTTCGAAGTCGGCTTCATCTTCGGGATCGATTTCTTCTTCCTGGCGAGTGACTTTGAAGTTCTCTTCTTCTGATTCGTTTCCTGTTGGTGATGTCAAATTGTCGGTATTAGCATCAATTTCTGTTTCTTCTTCTGAATCGAGAGAAACATCGTCGACATCTCCTTCTGGAATGCCTGCATCTCCTTCATCTGATGATGCCTCACTGTCAGGCTCCTCTGGTTCAGCAACCTTCTCGATGCCAGCAGTCTTTTGATCCTGGGCCATGGCCAATTGGAACGCACGACTAGCTTCTTCTATGTTTGAAGCAAGCTTCCATTGAGGTCTTGTGGCCGCGTAAACATCACTGACGATGAATTCAATGTCCATGGGGAGAGGATCTTTCGTATAAATGTAGTACTACACAGGTTAGCATGGCAGCAATAATGGGATTGTAATATAATATACCTGGAAGAATGACAAGAAGTAATCAAGTTTCTTGCCCGCTGCACCACGACTAAAGAAAACGCCGCAACTTTCTAATAGAATTGCTACAAGACGAATCCTGAAAAAGTCATCAGGCATATCGAAAGGATTGATGCGACCAGGGACAGGTGGTCCACCTAATCATGTTAGCGTGCTGCAAAATTGTAAAATGCTGCGGTTTAAACTCACCATGACCAAATGTCAAAATACGGTACATTGTGTCAAATATTACAGGATGATCTACCATTCGAAAATTGTACAGTTCCCCAAGGTATTTGGCTTCTGCAATCCGACGTTGATTGAACTTAAAATCATTTTGCTCCAAACCAACAATAATGTATTCCAATACATTGTCAATGACTGTGATTACAAACCCTTGGTGGTAACGAAATAGAGCGCTTGTAACAATTGCCAAAAGATAAATGTTACCATACTTCACCTTTCCGGGTTTGGAGAGGACTTTTTCGAGAATAGTGACAACCTTTCATAAAATGTTAACAAATCTCCTCTAAAGTTTGAGGATAGCACATGCCTCTGATTCTTCCCAGTGAAGTCTACGAATTGACCTGATAATTCTAGCATAATTTCGTGTAGTCATATCAGAATAGACAAGCTTGCGAATGAATAAATCAATTGGAGTTCTCTCCTTTTGCTGGATCGTTGGCCGTAGAGGCGGGTCTACATAGTAAACGGCATTTTCGATCAGCATCCGCTCCTGTTGGCCAATATGTTGGACAGACTTCTTGCGTTTTAGTGTTTCCAAGAAGGATGTCATTCGAGGGGACATATCTGGATTGCGAAGTAAGTATCGACCACAGTTTTCTAGCAAGTTACATATGATCTCAATATTCATCCGTGAGAAGTCGTCAAGACTGACTTTCAAGCAATGGAATATAACATGCTCAGGAACAACGCCAAACTTGGTCAGCTCAGCTAAGTAGCGGATGTTTCCTAGTCGGGCTTGGCCTAAGAATTCTTTTTCCTTGCGACGTTGAAGGCTACGGAATTCTTGATCAAGGTGGTCAACCAAGCCTTTGATAATGTCAGGCATGTACTTTCCCAGTGTTGCTACTAGTCTTGAGTATGACGGCAGAAGATCACTGCGACCCTTAGGAACCTCTTGCACAGCTTTGATTAAACGATTACGAGAAGCTTTGGAGTTCAAGAAACAGAAATCAATAGCAGCCTCGTCAATCAAGTCTTTGTTTGTAAGATCAGGGAGTCTAGCAAGCAATGCATCGACTTGGGCACCAATGGTTTTGTTGGCAATGGCTGTGGATTGATCATCATCCGCGGTCTTTGCTGTGGGCGCAGTGGTCTCCGCGGGAATCGTCTCGGAAGTGTCGACCTTTTTGCCCACTTGCTCGTCCGTATCTGTTTTCTTCTTTTTACCATCTTCGAGGAGCATACCCGGGACCTTTCCTTTGAGATCTACCAGATTTTCGTAGAACCTCCGCTCATCTTCGTCCTCCCAGATACCTGCGCCCTCGCCCTCCCCTCTCAGGTAGTCGCCAGCCTTCACAAGCCCAATGCCTCCATTGCCCAAGGCCGAAGAATCATCGGAGTCTTTAAGATCTGGCATTTCTGCGCCAATGGATTCTGCGAGGACTTGAGCGTTTGATACAAGTCGTTCTTGCCCTTTAAGGGCCTTCTCGTAATTTGCTTGGCGATCCTCAAACAATTGGCCAGATTTGACATATGCTTCTGAGTCTTTGCGGGCCTGTTTAGCAATAGCCTTCTGATCGCGAATGATGTGTGCTTTGACATCTTCAAAATAGCGGTTGAGGATATTGCGGAAACGCTCCTGGAGTTCAGGTGAAGCAAGAGGGGCATCTTCGGTCGAGTTCACTAAGGGTGACGTCACTTCCACCGAATCGTTCTCGTCGCCGTCCTCATTCTCACCTTCACCCTCGGTGGCATCATTCGTCGTCTTCGTAGTACCGTCTTCCTCCACAGTTTTTCTGCCCTCATATCCAGCTTCTCTGACACCGAGTATGTCCCAACCAAATGCCTTTACAAAAATTACCAGTAAGGGCAGGTTCGCATGATCCCTATCATGACCCAGAAGATCCTTGAGAACTTCTAGAGGAAACGGTTCCGCACCTCCCCCCTTTCCAGCTCCGTTCGGTTTCGCTTTATTATCTGGTGCCTTGTTCGATGATCCTGAAAGAGATTCCTTGCCGTGAGATGCGTCGTCTGGTCGAGCAACATCGTCCAACGTTCTCAAAACTCCCACCAGCCACAACTCGGTGACAACTCTCAAAAGTACTCTCTGTCGTACAATTCGCTCCTTTTCTTCCTTCTCCCGGGCTTCGGCTGCGAGACTCTTCAATAACGACTTTTCGGGTGTAGCCAATCCTTTTCCTACCAACCACCCTAGAAACTCCGTAAATTCTGCTGGCCCAAAACGCTGATGTAATGCGCTGACAATTTCTACACCAGCCTCCACCTCTCCCGGCGACTTAAGTCTGCAAAGCCCTTCATAACAAGCTGATATAATTTCCGAGAGATATTTGTGTAGGCTAAGGGTTCGTATTTCTTGTAGGAAGGTGCTAAGGGTCGCAGCTGAAATTGCGGTTCGAAGGCGCTTGATAAAGGCTGTGTTCTTCTTGAGCGATGAATCTAGTGACTTGTTCACGGCATAAATGTCTGTATTCAACGTTAGACAGAATAGTTTATGAGTTGTTCGCATATCAAACCAACCTTTCTCGCCATTCCAAGCGCGGGTGTTTAAGTCGCGCAATTCGCCTTCAAATCAATATTCACGTCAGCCTACATGTCTGCATGTCGTAGGGTAATATGCAAGTACTCACGCTTTCTCTTGCGATCCATGATGAGCCTATTCAGGCCGGATCTTTATGATTTGAGGTGGGGGGTGCGATATGTGTTCCTTGCGCCCCACATCAGGGATTTTGTAAGAAAGACCAAAGGTAGTATGACTTCACAGAAGCAGACAGATGCATCTGGATATGAAGGTTTAGTTTTGGGGGAGATTGTTTCCCTTTGAATTGATTGACCAGCGCCCTTTTATGCAGGTTGAGAGAAATTAGAAGTTGAGTCGAAAGATGGGTTGTGAGAAAGTTTCCCAATAAATTGTGGAATTGAGGAATCACAATAGAGAATATTAAAGGTAGCCCGTGCGAGCCTTGTCCCTTGCCTTTCCCAAATATACTACTGCTACTGCTACTGCTACCGCTCCTGCTCCTGCTCGAATGAAGGGATCAAACTAACAACCCTACTACTGTTATCGATTAAGCTTCTGTAACCCAAGAAAGATACATCCTGATGAATATATTGAGATGTTCCAACCAACAAACCAAACAATAATTTCTCGATTGGAATTCATGTATTTCACCAGGGTAGATAGATTGCTACATCTACGGTGGATAGGATGTATTGTTTCTGTATTGTTTCTTTGCTTGTTTTGTTTGTCAGTCAATCGCTACCACTACATGTTATAAAGCTAGTGAATTAGTGAGGGTAGGTAGACATAGCCGTCTTGTCCTGCATAAGAATAGTTGCACCTATACAACCATATACAATGATTGCGTGTCATGCCAATAAGCCTGTTGAGTCTACATCTTTCCTTACTTGTCGGTCTTGGTACATGATAGCTTTAGTGTGCTCACAATACTGTCATCTCATGTAGGTAATCAATCAGTAAGAATACAATATTGCCCACTTATTCTCATTGCCAAGGGTCTGAGAATACATTTATTGACTATCCGATGTGTTGACTTCATTCGTCTCACAATACTTTCATTCAAAGGGAACGAACCTTCACACAACTAAGAGCCAAAGCTTGTGCACCCTCTCTCTGAGTTTTCATAGGAAAGATTGATCTCAAACTCTCCTCAGTCATAACCCACAAGAATACCAACCTGTACAATGGTTGACCTCACAGGTTCATGTTCATTAACGAAGGGATCAAACAGCAAAGCAGAGTGTCTACGGATCTTTCATCGAAGCCTGACAGAGCACTCAAACTTCCATGCTGGAGGTTTGCATGCTGAGTGGGCCTTTGAGCCTTTGCTACAGCGACTCGATGATGCGAAAGGACATCCCTCTTCCAACAATATAGCAAGATCCAGACAGAATTTCCTATTATATCGTTGACTTCAACGTTATGATCAACTTGCCACAATATACTGGTTTGCACGATGCGCATATGTGATGCAATACCCTGAACCGTCTGAAACTTTTGCTTTACTTCAGTAATGGCTGTAAAGGTTTTATCTGGGTTGGCAGACACTTTTGTCGTATTCCCATTCCATTCTGGAATATCACCCTTTCCTTCTACCGATAGTTGGATAAACGGGGGCTCGACCATCTCGCTGCGAGTATCTAGTATACGTCATCTGATTTGATGGCCGTGGCAAACAGAAACAAGCTCAAATACTCAGCTTTGACCAGATGAATCTCTGGAAAGCTTTGGTCATTGTGGCTATGATTCCTTCGCCCGATTCTATCTATCTTGATATGATGCCGAGTTTGGACATTTGCCTACATTGTGACTTGCATTTCTGGAGGCACAATAATATGTGTGAGATAGCCTTACGGTCATAAAGTTTTGACATTCTTAAAAGGAAGGGTTTTCACGATGACAGTACGAACAAGTCATTAAGTCCTTCCTTCTCGCATGCATGCTTGTGTATCCTGTTCTTTTCAAAGCTTCAAAGTTGTTGATTTCGGTCTTAAGATCTTAAACAAGCCATCGCTCCCAAAGCAACCTGCGTTATTGTTTTGATACCGAGTTCAACATGAGGGGTTTTGATCATGGCCTGCGACATGAGTGTTGCATCTAAGGAAGCCATGAATCGTGGGGATCACGGTGCTAATTGAAGGCTAGCGTCCGGCAAACAGCCCGGGATATCTAGCTTCTTATCTTTTTCAAATCATTCTATGAAACAATCCAAAGAACCCCGAGTTAACAACGAAGCCATTACCAACCAGATTTTCCAGTCAATTGGCGCAATAATATGGAATTCTTCCTTATCATCAGTTCATGGTATAGACAAGCATATCAATTATGCCTCGAAATCGGAAATACTTCGTTCCCGTCGCTATTAGTAACGGTTAGTGGCCGAATCTGGTGAACCAATCATGTTCGATTGTCATAGAGATAAGAAAAAAAAAGCACAAGTATGGACCGCTCTGAGCCACCAAACGTATCTTATTCAAGCCCATGGCTACTGATGGGTATAGATATGGATACAGAGAAAGGCTTTCTTATCTTCTCTGCATAAAAATGAAGAGATATCCGCGGAAATCCTCAAAGATCGTACTTGGCTTCAGGATATGCAGCATTCACCATATCGTGCTTTTAGGAAAGTCATAGTTTGACGTTAGATGATTACCTCTGTAAATTTTGTGATTGATACACTTGTCTGGAGAGTCTCTAGTGGGATTTCTGTCGTGGGACTTATTGATTGAAACAATTTCAAATAATTGGTGCACTGCGCTCCATTGCTCCGTGTATCGATCTGGGGTTTGCCTCTAGACTTCCCTTGCATCATCACTTTCCATTATTGTTACCCGCGGAGAAATTTATATATTCACTGGCTTGAAACCCTCGTCGAATATTGTTTCCCTCATTTATCTGAGCGCAAGAGGATTTCACTGGATTAATACCATCATATCCTACAAGCCCTTTAGTTGTAAGAATTTTCCAGCTTTTCCATCTTATTCTTATGGTTTTGATATCTTGAACGAAAAAGAGAATCTCAATGGCTAGTGCTCAATTCATGAACGGACACTCTTCCGAGGCTCATGCGGAGATGTCGAAGATTATTCCTCAATTGCCACAGACTCCACCAGATTCCAATGAGAACAGTGCAGATGAGCTGGGTTCCTTATCAAGTCGACCTAGTTCGACCTCATTGTCATCGCAGCGATACACTCTCCCACCTCCAACAAATCCACCGACGAAAATTCTCAAGGAGGATTTGAAAACACCAGACAACCAAGTGCCCCGGGACCCTCGACTTATTCGGCTGACTGGAATTCATCCCTTTAATGTCGAGCCTCCATTAAGCGCTTTATACGACGAAGGATTTCTCACATCGCCTGAATTGTTCTATGTTCGGAATCATGGAGCGGTACCTCATGTTGAGGACTCATCAATACCTGACTGGGAGTTTTCCGTCGAAGGACTGGTCAAAAAACCTTTTACTCTCACACTCAAAGATCTTCTGAGAGAATACGAACAAATCACCGTACCTATCACACTTGTCTGCGCCGGAAATCGTCGTAAAGAACAGAACCAAGTCCGGAAATCTAAAGGTTTCTCGTGGGGAGCTGCAGGCGTGTCAACGGCATTATGGACAGGCGTACCAATGTATGAGCTGATTAAAAAGGCGATACCAATGAGAGGAGCAAAGTATGTTTGTATGGAGGGTGCCGATAAGCTTCCTAACGGTTACTATGGAACTTCCTTAAAGCTTAATTGGGTTATGGACCCAAATAGAGGAGTTATGGTAGCCCACAAGATGAACGGAGAAATGCTTCGACCCGACCATGGTAAACCTTTACGAGCTGTCGTTCCCGGGCAAATTGGTGGCCGCAGTGTGAAATGGTTGAAAAAGATTATTGTTACCGCAGCTCCCAGCGATAACTGGTACCACATTTACGATAACCGAGTCCTTCCAACTATGATCAGCCCAGAGCAGAGTGCCAACGAACCCAAGTGGTGGACAGATGAGAGATATGCTATCTACGATCTGAGTACAAACAGTGCCACCGCATACCCAGAACACGAAGAGCGAATATCTTTGGTAAGCGGGCAACAAACATATCGTGCAAAGGGCTATGCGTATGGTGGTGGTGGACGTCGCATTACCAGAGTCGAGGTAACACTTGACAAAGGGAAATCATGGGCGTTAGCTGATATACGATACCACGAAGACGATTATCGAGACCGCGCCTACGAAAATGAAACGTTATTCGGTGGTAAACTAGATATGGAATGGAGAGAAACATGTTTCACATGGTGTTTTTGGGAGGTTGATTTGGAGATCCAAGATCTCGCAATGTCGGGGGATATCATGGTAAGAGCTATGGACGAGAGTATGAATGTCCAACCGAGGGATATGTACTGGAGTGTGCTGGGTATGATGAATAATCCATGGTATCGAGTAACCATTACCAAAGAAGGCGATTATTTGCGCTTCGAACATCCCACACAACCAGCACTTATGCCAGGAGGATGGATGGAAAGAGTAAAAGCTGCTGGAGGGAACCTTGCGAATGGATTCTGGGGCGAGAAGATGGGTACTGAAGATGAATCTGTCGCTTTGGTCGAAGTCAAGCAAGAGATAAAGATGACAAAAGACGGCCTGAAGCGTGAGATATCCATCGAGGAATTACGTCAACATGACAATGAAAAGGAACCTTGGTTTGTGCTCAACGGCGAAGTCTACGACGGAGCACCATTCCTAGAAGGCCACCCAGGAGGTGCAACAAGTATTACCGGAGCCGCAGGCCAAGACTCCACCGACGAATTCATGGCCATCCATTCCGAAACGGCAAAAGCAATGATGTCCGCTTACCACGTCGGAACTCTTTCGCCCTCAGCCCGCACCTCCCTCCTCAACCCCGAGCCCCTATCCTCCTCATCCCAATCTCTCCGTCCCATCTTCCTCCAACCCAAAAGCTGGCAAAAAGCCATCCTCACCGCTAAAAAAGTTATCTCGAGCGATACGCGCATCTTTTCTTTTACTCTCGATCATGCGGAGCAAGTCATCGGGTTACCGGTCGGTCAACATCTCATGATGCGCTTACGGGATCCCGTTACCAGGGAAGCGATCATACGATCCTACACGCCTCTTTCGCTCGGGACCGACAAAGGAGTTTTGGACATATTGATCAAGATCTATGTGAAAAATGAAAAAGGACCAGGAGGAAAAATGACAATGGCGCTGGAAAGTATCCCCGTTGGACATGCAATCGATTTCAAAGGACCGATTGGGAAATTCGAGTACGTGTCGAAAGGGGAGTGTGTAATTGGAGGTAAGAAGAGGAGGGTAAAAAGATTCGTGATGATTTGTGGAGGAAGTGGTGTGACGCCTATCTTCTCGGTGTTGAGAGCGGTGCTTAATGAAGAGGAGACGGGGGATGCACCGAAATGCATAGTATTGAATGGGAATAGGAGGGTGGAAGATATTCTCTGCAGAGAGGAGTTGGATAATTTGGTGAACGGAAAGGAGGAGAGGTGTAGATTAGTATATGCTTTGAGTCAGCCAACAGAGGAATGGAAAGGATTACGAGGGAGGCTTGGAAAAGATGTTTTGGAGAAGGAAATTGGGAGGTTTGAGATGAGCGATGAGGAATATGGGTATAGGGATGGTGAACAATTGGTTTTGATCTGTGGACCTGAAGCATTGGAGAAGAGTGTACATGGCATATTGTCGGATTTGGGCTGGAGGGATCAGGATTTACTTTTCTTTTGAGCGTTTAAGGGATTGGGAGGTGTGGTGGGTTGGATAGGGTTGGTTGTATTTATTGCTATTGAATGTCTGGACCCATGGAAGGGAGGATGTTTGAATATGGTATCAATGGAGTATGTTAATAAAATACGATTATGAATTCGATGCCTGCCAGATGTTATGTATCGGTGAGTCTACTAGTGAGTACATGATGAACGGGATACTTCTGAACTTCTGACATTTTCAACAAATTCATTCTTTAGCACCTTGATGTCAAAATCTATCTTTTCATTATTCAAGTCTTCATAAATCATTAAAGTTATTCCTGAGATATGTATATTCACAAATTCATTCTCCAATGAATTATAATCAAAATCTATCTTTTAGTTATTCGATTCTTAATGAATCATTGAAATCATTTCTAAGATGTACAAATTAATAGATTCATTCTCCAACAGTTCAACATCAAATCCCTCTTTTCATTGTTCGATGTTTGATGAATGATTGAAATCATTCCCGAGACAAACAAATTGACATCTCAAGAAATATTCCCAAGTCCATTTTCGCAGCATCTTATCAGCCGGTACACTCACTAATAATCTAAGTAAGAGAACAAATCAGGATTTGAAAGTTTTATATTTCTAAAGCTAGCTAGCTAGCACTTATAACTATTTAGCTTCGGCTAATTATTGTGAACGCTCTATTTTGCCAATCTTACTAGCGAACCCCGCGTTAGCAAGATTAATGTTTGATGGATATGTTCGATAGCTCTCGCTCGCTTAGCAACAATTATTAATCTAATTCCTGTATCTATCTACCGAAGCCAAACCATCCTTTCTTCTGCTGTTGGTGCTGCTCCTGTGGTTCCTCTGGCTCTGTCTCCTTCGCTTCTTCTTCCACAGCAGTC